CACCCGTATCGGCTGGTTTCAGGTTCCATCAGAAATTTCGCTCCCGAGGGTCGCCTAGTCCTTCTTTGGCGTAGCACGTGGCCAATCATACCCTGTGGTTAATTCCGACTCCAGACGTAGCCAATCAGACCTGGGAGGTGGAGAAATGTTAGCGAAGCGCGAGTGGCTATTAGTTCTGCTTGACCAATATGGTGTGTTTCTTACCAAATCAGCCAGCTATACTATCACAAGCTTCGCAGACAGCTTGTACCCCTACTACATACAAGTAGTAAACAATTTGATGGTTCTGCGGTTAACAAGCATATCCGACGCAAGTCCCTCGAGGCTTGGTATTGTCGCCAATTGAATGCGCTTTCTTTCTCGCCATCATCCTTTGAGGATGGATGTTTCCAGGTCATATACTTCGTAAAGGAAAGGGATCCGCCAGTTGCAAGCGCAAAAACCATTATATATCAACTGGCAATGTGAAATGAGCTGGTTTGTTGGTGGTGTCACTGAGAGGGCAATTCCACGGGAGAATTCCCGTCGAGCTCAGCTACTGGAGAATCAGAGTCATATCGGCCGTCTGTTAATCCTGACATATAGCCGGAGAGCCTCATGTCAATTGATGTAGTTGCTTGCATTTGAATCCTCTGGGCTCCTACCGACCCGCCCGGTAGTCTTGAATCCAAACAAAGCGGAAATAGAGGCTTTCAAATCATCAACGGCGGCCGTCCAAGGGGTACTGCAAATAGGTCGTAGGTCCAGCAGTTTGGTGAATGTAAAAACATTCGGCCATGGCGGCAGAAACCCCTTGGATGTCCTGATCCCATTCAACAATTTGGCAAGTTCTGCGTCAACGCCAGAAATGGTGCAGCATCGGACAAAAAAAGGAGAAGAAATTCCGAGGCTCCCATGTTTGCCATTTCACCATCCCGCCGTTTTAAATTGTTGATTCAATGCATTCGGCACAGCCATGTGAGATGGAGCTGACGGAGCAGCACACAATTCCACCTGGTCGATGCAGCAAGTGTAGGCGCCATTTAAACACAGTGTCAGCCGAACGGCACAGCATGTTTGATCCCCGGGCCTATTCGGCCTCCTCGACAGAGGCCGTGTCAACATACTCGCCAATGGCTCTGCACGGCGTGCGTACAGCACATGGATATTATTGAGTGCTGGGTCTGATTGTTGATGCGAGGCGTTTGTTCGCAGAGCTCCTTGGACCCCATGGCAGCCCATGGCATCTCCCATCCCCGATGCATCCCACATTAGCCTGAAGCGTGGCCAGCTGCATGGTTACAGAATGGCGCCCGCCCGCGGCCCCACCACAGGCGCAAGGCACTGGGGCCACACCAAACACACCAACCAAGGCTGGCTACCTTGCAGCAGATCGCTGCGACAATGTGACGGATGCAACTGGGTGTGGTGAGAAAATCTTGGGCAGAACGGCGGACACGGCGATGGCAGGTCGATGGCGTCTCACTTTGTCGATTGTTGCGGCTGGGACGCGGCGAGGCGATGGACATGAGCTGGTGATGCGCAGGCAACGTTGAAGGCGGGTGACAAGCTGCTGCTTCCTTTGCTGTTCGGTGGCTTCCACTGCGTGAGAGCGGCGCGGCTGCAATTGGTCTGGCAGGCCTTGTGCCAGGGTGTGGTGTTGGTGCATGTGGTGAGGCCGTTGATGCCGCACCTCCACCAGGACTTGACCAGACTGCTGCCAGGCCAGGGTCAATAAAGTCCTCAGGCGTCTGGTGCCAGATGGAGCACTGGGGCAAGCACAGGAGCACTGGAGCAGCCCTTTGAGCGAGCACGGCGCCGATTGCCCGTCGAACATTGAGGCTAGACACTCAAATATTCGGAGCGCTCGAGGCCACCCCTGTCACACACACCCAGGCCCTCGTGGCCCAAGGGCCCAGGCGAGTTGCCTGTCCGTCTCCTTCATCGCCCGTTGCTCCAAGACCTCACGAGCTCGTCGACTGTGGTTCGAATCTGGGTTTCGCTGTCAAGGCCGTTCCCGGCGCCGTTTTGCTGCACCTCATCCCGCGTTGGTGTTTTTTTCTTGCGTTTGTCGCGGGCGCCCAGCCCCAAGTCGAGACACAGAGTGCCGACCAGTGACATTTCCAAGCCTGAGAGCCCGGCCCTATTTTAGTGAGGTCGTCGAGTGGCGTATAAGTCCACGAACAGAGATGTGTCAACAACGCCGTCGACAAGAGCCACGCAATGAGGCAGAAAGACGGAGTGTCAAGGCGGCAATTCGAAAAACGCGAAGAGAGACAGAAGAAGGAGATTTTAAAATGGGAGAAGAAAAAGGGTGGCGGCTGGAGGAAACGGGGAAGGGGGGAAGGGTTAGTTATGTGAGTGAGTGACCTCGAGTCCCAGCATGGCCCTTTTCGATCATACCGTCGACCTGCGCAGGCCATGAATGGATGACCCGGCGGCTGCCACACACGAGTCGATATTTTGGCATTTTTAGCCTTGTTTCCTTGGGCAGCCTCAAACGCGATCAAATGTAACTTTGTGTGCGTTTTAAGTTACTTTGACTACTCGTTTCCATTCTCTTTGTCCGCCGTCCCCAGGGCTCAATCAAGCCAGTGCTGGCAATCGGCCGGCCACCCACTAGCCCTCAAGCCCTCAAGCCCTCGAGCCCTCAAGACGCAGTCCATGTCGGCCTTCACCCGTCATGGATTCATGGGCCAGGCCAGCCAAGGTCGATGGACGCTTTGTGGACGCGCCGTTGGTCCAGACGACGGCCTTGGGGTCTTTGGATCGAGCCTCCGGGATGGTGGCTCGTTAGATTATACTGTGGCTCTTGAATCCTTTTAATGTTCCCTGTCCAGAGATATTGGCGTCCCGCTACGGAGTACTCGTGGGATGCAATCTTTCGCCGCTGCTTGCCTCGTTCCTCGTTGCATCCAAGACGCTGCGTCTAATAGCGTCTGTTGCTTGCGTCGCAAGAAGAGTCAAGTAGCTTGTGTCTGCTTTGGATTTCCAGGTAGACTTGCACACGGATGCCTGCATGTGTACTTGAGGAAGCAGGTAGCAGGTTGCAGGCACGGGCTTTGCATTAGGTTCGCTGGCCCCGGCTTCCACGAAATGGTCTGGTAGCATTAGCATTTCAAAAGAAGGCACGGCCAACCTATGCGTTGGCCAAGGCATGGGTGCGGTGTCAGCTGTATTCACTTCTCTCTCTCTTTTCTTTTCTTTTCTTTTTTTTCCTCTTTCTCTGTTGTCCTTGGATTTCCAACCCTCAACTGGCAAGACGACGGATGGCACCGCACAAGCATGGCTGGATGGACTGAAGGCCTGGCTGGGCCTTTAATTATAAAAGGGCCGGTTGTGCGCGCAGCCCGCAGGACCACAGACATCCTTCCCCAGAAAGCTGGACGAGGACATCGAGTCAAATCACAATTCAGAGGCCGTCTGTTGGTGATAATTACCCCATGCCCATCACCAGCATGTGCGTCGACTTCCCATTCAGCCATCCATCCCCTCCGTCTCCTTCAAACCACTGCATCACTCGCCGCCATCTCCTTGTTGTATTAGCTGCCCCTACCTGGCTCTTGGCTCCTGGCACCTGGCACCTGGCTCCCGGCTCTTGGCCTGGCTCCCGAGCCATCGGCTGGTGTCTGCTGCCTCATGATTAAAGCCCTTCCCCACATCGTCCGTGGCAAGGCAATCATCACTACAATAGTTCGCCTCCAGACCAAATTTCCAGGCTCGTGGAAGGACGGACAAACCCGTAGGCAGCCCATTTCACACGGAATGAGTGCGCTGGCCATAATTTGGGCAAGGAAACCGCCCATCTCGCTTCGCAGCGATTTCGTCTAGAGGCCGCTGCTATAGGCACAAATGATGCTTGGATGGGCATTGAGGTTTCCGCACGCCAGCAATACGGAGTTGGCGTGATGTGCTGGTGATGTTGATTGGCATGTCTCGGGGAGTGAACCCCTTCGTTCCACAACTCCCACAGATCCCCGTCTGTCTCAAGCACTCACTTCGAACTTGGGGCGTTTGTTTTCGGTAAACAGGTGTTGGGGCGTCGTCTTTCCCAGTCAGTCAGCCCACTGCCTGGTAGACTCTGTGCACGTTACACACGACACCACGGCATCGAAAAAGAAACTTTTGGTACAAAACTGACCGCGACGGTGATGTAAGCTAGACTCCCGTGTTGTAAATATTACTCCGTACTACTAGTAGCATTCCCCCAGCGCCTTTCTGTGTCCAAGATTATTGGCACCTGTCAATGTGAGGTAATTGTGGATATATATCCGTACATACTCCGTACCATGACTCCGTTTGTGTTCTATCCCTATGGAGTACAAGGATATCACCGAGAGCCTGCCGTTGTCAGAATCTGCTTAGACTCCGCACACATTGTCAGGCGGTTGTGCGGAGTGCTTGCTACTCCATTGCCGTTCTCTCGATGCTCGTGCGTGTACTGTAAATTTTCTTTGCCCGTACAGGGTATAAGGTTACTCGGTGGTTCCATACATAATTATGTGATGGGCTGACTTGGGGATTGAAGAACCTCACGTTGTCCCCGCATGTTGGGCCACTGGGGGCTCCTCATTTGCGCACCAGACCCCTTTCGGGTCCGAACTAGTGGAGCGACCCGAGATCAATGATGCCTCCGTAGCATTGGTACTGTTACCCTGCACATTGAACGAATTTTACAGTCGTGCCTAGCTTAGTTGTTCCTGTAATAAAATCAGAAGAACAAAGAGAGGGGGGGAAAGACAGAGAGAGAAGTAATTCACGGAGTCAATGCCAGTGGAATGAAACCTTTCCAGTATTTCCATGTTGGTGCTGGTAGTGGCAGTGAGAAGCAGTCTGGTTGCATATTGCGGTTCCATGATAGATTTCAATATCAGTGAGTGCGAGCTTAATCGCCCACTAGACCAGCGCCAACGAAAAGACATGTGCTTCCATTCACAAGCAGCGCAACGTCAATTGAAAAGGAGGTATAATGCATTATGAACATCGATTCCACGGCCTATGTACCTAGAAAATTTTTTTCATCACGACAATTCCAACTTTTCCTTTGTGTACTCCAAAACCTGCCGAATGTCATCATCCAGCCCCCCCCGAGCCAGATATCCATCTATCCAAGCTGTCGTCTTGCGACTGAGCTCGAGCTTGTCTGTGGTGACATCCAACTTCTCGCCCAACCGTGCCAACACGTCTCGCAATCCTCGCGGGAATTCCGCAGTGTTGGTCTGCACGCCAAGGATGGGTTGTCTGATGTAGCAATTGCATGTGGACGGGTGGTTCGGGTACGCCTCACTCAACGAGTCCAAAACGTGTTGGGAAATCTTGGGTTCAACTGACAGAGCCTTGAACGAAGCGAACATGGTGAAGAAGGACTCCGCAACCTCAGGAGTAAAGAATGCCTGTTTCCGGGATATGTCGTAAATGGCCATTGGTATAGCGCCGTCCATGGCCGGGTTGGACTTGAGCTGTTCCGAGGCCTGCTTGTCAATGACTTTGGCCTGGGCTCGCGATGGCTCGGGCAACATGTTGCCGTCTTCGGCCTCGTCCTCATCCTCGCTGTCCGCGATGCAAAGTTCGTCGTCATCATCAACGCGGTCGGGCCGCAATGCGTCGACACCCTTCTTCTCACTCTTGCGCTGATCCACCTTGACTAGCCACTCCATCTCACTCCTTGCGTATTCAAGCCACAGTTTGCAGTCCTGGGTGCAGAATCGACAGCCGCGCATGAAGAATCCTCGCGCTGCGGCCATGTCACCATTCCTCGCAGACCGTCGGCCCGCAATGACCCAGAATTCAGCGTCAGTGGGCATCATGCGAAGGGCCTTTGCCATGGTCTTGCGCCATCGCTTTGCGGCCTTGATGCTGGCCGCGTAGGACAGATAGCCTTTCCATAGTTTCCTGCTGCCGGGGTGTCTGTTGACGCCTCGCTCGTAGATCGATAGTACGCGGCCCTGGCCGGCGTGTGCTGAGTTGAGGTGGTGGATTTTGAGCCGGCGGCATCTCTTGCTGCGCAGGCTTTCGAGGGATTGTTCCCATTTGACATAGGCGGACCATTCGGAGGGTGCGTTTCCTGGCGAGAGCACTCGGTGCTCGTGCTCGTTGCGTTTCTGTACAATTGTGCGGATTTCCTCCTAGAGTCAATGCGTTAGAGTATTGTAGTGTTTGTGCGACAGTTCTGGGAACATGCCTTGGAGAATATTTCCTTTTCTTCCCACTCTCTTAGTTGAGGAACGGAGCGTTCGAGATAGAATCTCGCCTTCTCAGCAACACCCGCCATTATGGCTATCAAACACGGCAACTCCGAGTTAGGTGATGTATCGGGGCAGCACGTAACCAGTCCGAAAAGCCGCGCTGCTTTATTGAGTCAAAGTAAAGATGCGAGGTGGGCATGTATGATCATGAAGTTTTTCCCACGAGGCCGTTGCAGATCCAAAATTTTAGCGGGGCAGCTTTGGGTGCTTCACAGAGTACAGCACACGAATAACCATCCGGTTGCAGGACTTCGTGGCTGTCAGCGAGCGAATCAGCATCCAGCTAGCCAAAGTGCCTGTCAAGGCCCAGCAAGCTGCCCCTGGGCGCGGCTGTGCCAGCCCAGCCTGGTAAAGTCAACTGGTCCCTTGCTATTGAATCAATACGCGCGTGTCCACACTCCACATCGCCAGACTGGACCTTCCGAGGCTCTTGCAGGCCACAAATCCAAACCTCACCACTTCGTCCCCTAATCCCCCCCTCGTTGTTCCTTTGCTCCTTGTCCTTTCAGCTTCTTTCTTATTTCGCTCGGATGTCCCGGACGGTACTGTAATCGACTGCGTTTTCTTCTTCCGCTCATTCAGTTTTCTTTGTCATCGCCATGTCCAAATACAAGGACAAGGATGGCGGCATTGTCCTCAGCTTCGGGGGGCAGTGGGTGAGCTGGGCGCACACAATTGTCGCATACAGTAAGTCGTCATGGGCTCTACGAGGCGCTCCGAATCAATGCAGTAGCTGCTTTTGCACACAGAGTCGCAATTGACAACAGTCGTTCTAACCGCCATCTGTAGCCGCTTTCCTGAGCGCATTGATCGTCGGCGTCTCCCTTCACTATCACAAGATTGTCCAGAATGAGTTTTACGGATATCCCCAGGAGTGGTTCCCGTCCGTGTCGGCGACAATTGGCGATCGATACCCCGAACGGTCTTTTTTCATGATCTTTATTGCCATCACATCCGGTATAACCAACATCTCCAAGACCGCACTGCCCATGTTCCGATAGCTAACTTGGCCCAGGACCTCGTTTCGCCTTGGTCGGCCTTTTCTACCTTCTTACCCGAAAACCAGGGACCAAGCTGCCCGGCTTCATTGCTTCCATGGGTGTTCTTCGCACTCTCACGTGCGGAGGCTGGACTTATATCACCTCGACGGACGATCACGACTGGCATGACATTCTCATGATTTCGTACATTGTGGCAACCCTGCCTTGGACCCTGGGATGCATTGCCCTGAGCCCGCCAAACCCGCAGGCTATCAAGTACCGGAAGTACCTTGCTACTGCTTTCTTTGGTACCCTGGTGCCTCTCATCTACTTCTTCATTCAGCACAAGGTGCATCGCGTTGCTGGAGGTTTGTTGTAGCCCCGTCGAACACAGATGTGACTGATCTAACATGAGCGCTTAGCCTATACCATCTATGCATTCTTTGAGTGGGCATTGATCCTCTTTGACGTTGGCTTTGATGCCGTTACAGCTCTGGATTATAGCACATTTGAAGTCGTGATCAGGGATGTCAAGGGATTGAGCAAGGGGTACGTGCAATGGCTTCCAAGATAGTCCTGGCTTCTTGTTCCATCAAATTTCAATATACACCCGTTATTTTGAGGCGTCGTCTAAGATTTCTCGCAGTGATAACCTCTCGTCCGTCCCGTCTGCTGTCATGGAGAAAGAGTAAGTCCTTCCCTGGGTATCTGCAAACTACGGCCTACTGACTGTTCAAAACTAGAAAGGAAAAGGCAACTGGCGGTCTCTACTCTCTGCGCTTCACCTGGTCTGAGGCATTGGACACTGCTGCTGACGTTTATCATGGAGTAAGTCAAGGCCTTGGTCGCGCATTTTTTGACAATGTCTGACGGTCTGCAGTTTGTGTTCTGGTCCATGTTGACCAGCTTGGGTCTGGTAGTCTGGTGTAAGTTTGCTTGTTCGACAGTTGGCATAGTCTTTTGAGGCTGACATTAAAATAGACTTCCCTCTTTGGCACATGGGCATATCCGGATATGAAGCTTTTGTTTTAGTCTCCATTTCTCCTCTGCTCCTTGTTGGACCTCTTCGATCGGCTGTTATCAGCAACCAGCGAATCATTCATCTCCTATCTCTCTCAGGAGTCGCTGCTTATTTGGTTTTGGACCCCGCTCGTCGTCTGTTTACAGTTGGTTTTGGTGTTGCCATGTCGACTTTAGGATGGGTTGCCACGCTCCATGCCGAGTCCTTGCACGAAGCAAGATTCGAGTCCAGGATCCTCGGCCTGCTGGTTGGGCTTATCCTCTCGTCGACTGCCAAGTTTGCCTGGCAGACCAATAACCCCATCTGGCCCATCATGCATGAGGCCAATGGTGGATGGAACCTCACTGGGCTTGTGCTTGGAGTCCTGGCTGCGCTGCGCTTCACTCGCAAGGCTCCTTTGACTAGCGGGACCCCTGATGGCGCCCAGAGAGGCTCAACTGTGCTGGCTGCTTGTGGTGTTGGAGGTGTCTTTTTTGGTATGCACTCACTGCTATCTGATACCAGCACCATGATTCTTTGGGTCTGGGAAGGATTCCCCATCCGGGGCCCTTATTTCTCTACGCACGGTTGGTGCACCCTTGCCGCCATGTCTGCTGGTCTCTTTATTGGAATCTGCAAACCCTCTCTTGCTGGTAGCTGGCCACAGTACGCCGTCGGCACCGCTGGTGCAATGGTTTTGACATTCTTCAGTCACTGGTTTGGATACTACGGTGGTCTTGTTATTGCTGCCTACCTGATGGCTGTTGCTGTGCCTCTGCTTAGCAACGCTTCCAAGAAGAGCCCTGCCGTTACCTTTGGCCTTGGGTTCTTCATATACGTCTTCTTGGTTCTATTCCATGTCTGGGTGGTTGCCTATGCGTTTGTTCCTGGCGGTCCTCTCGTTCGTGAGCATACTGACTGGATCATGTACTCGATGATGGGTCTCATTGGCGCTGGTGTTTACGACTTCAATGCCTCCCAACCACGCAAGCAGCAGCCTCGTCGCACCTCTGCTTCTCAGCATAAGAAATATTTTGGATTTGCCACCATTATTGTCAATATCCTCTTCCTGTGCGCTGCTTTTATGCGCTTCCCCACCAACGACTACAAGCCATATCACGCCAAGGACCGTGTCCTCACAGCTGGTATTTGGACCATTCACTTCTCCTTGGACAACGACATGTGGTCATCAGAGTACCGTATGCGAGACCTTATCAAGGAGATGGAGCTTGATGTTGTGGGACTTCTCGAGTCCGACTTGCAGCGCATCATCATGGGCAACCGCGATACCACGCAGTTCCTGGCCGAGGATCTGGGCATGTATGTTGACTACGGCCCCGGCCCCAACAAGCACACTTGGGGTGCAGCTTTGCTTTCCAAGTTCCCCATTGTCGAGTCGAAGCACCATCTCCTCCCCAGTCCAGTAGGTGAACTAGCGCCGGCTATCCACGCTACGCTTGATGTGTATGGCGAACTGGTCGATGTCTTTGTCTTCCATTCTGGACAGGAGGAGGACCCCGAGGACCGGCGCCTGCAGTCCGAGTATCTGGCGCAACTGATGGGCTCTACTCCACGACCTGCGTTCCTTCTCAGCTACCTTGTCACGAAGCCCCTCGAAGGCAACTACAACACCTACGTCAGCGAGAAGTCTGGAATGCATGACGTTGACTCGACTGATTGGGACCGATGGTGCGAGTACATCCTCTTCAAGAAGCTTAAGCGTGTCGGCTATGCCCGCGTGAGCAGAAGCACAATTACCGATACGGAGTTGCAGGTGGCCAAGTTTGTGATCCCCAACTCTGCCGCCGAAGCCCAGCAGCTAGACTCGGTGTCTGCCGAGGAGCGTAACCGTCGCGTGCAGGAGTCTGAGGTCCCCGAGGGCTGGAGATTCCCGGCCATGTTCAGGGGACAGGGTGTTAGAGATCATAGATACCACGTCTTTGATGAGCCCAGATACTTTAATTAAGACAGAGCTGGGGTCTAGAGAATATTTATTGCAGACATGGAGATGGTGCAATAAGGACTGTACAAGAAGGAACTGATATTTCGGTGAAAATATAATATAATTTGCATGTGCCGCCAAGGCACGCTTCTACTGGAAATATGAAATTGGGTTAGTGCCATGACTCAAAAAACTGTATCTATTTGAGACGCCATGTCGAGCTTTGTTGCACTTCCAGCGCTAGATGGGTAGGATGGGAGAGGAGATAACTGGCGTGGTGTGGATTCGACGATCCGGCCTGACTCCCGTGGCCCAGAGGGAACCAGCAGCTTCATGACGTCACCATACGAATATGGATTGAATGCTGAATTTCATTCAATCTTTCCCAAAAGTTGCTTCTTGATTGTTGGGGCTTAATCCAGTAGCACCTGTACTATATGTGGCAGCGCATCAACTGAATGCCACTGGACAAAGCTACCAAGATGAAACAATTAAGCTATTTACCCGACGGGATACATATGTAGGCTTTTCTTTTTTCTAGACCGCGTTTCGATACCAGCTGTGGCAGCGAGAAAAGGCAGAGTGCCGCAACCATCTGAGACTGAGCCAGGACAAGCAGCGAATGCAGCGTGTTGCCAGCACGTCCTTACCTTCGTCCGCTTTGGGCGGATAACTCGGGCCTTGTGTGTGGGATTTGAAACAAGAACCAGTACCTACTTGGTAGCACAGTGCTATCATGGGGCGCGTCTTTGTCGAGGAAAGTGGTTTGCCTTGGGCAAATTAGGCGGTGGCAGCGCCCCCGAGCGGCAGTCGACGGGATATCTGGGCCCAGAGCCCCACAATTCCCGGCGCTCAAGGCGCGGAACCACAGGCGGAATGGATTCCAACGCCGGCTTAAGTCGAGCGAGGTCACGCGGGTGCTACGGGACACCAAACAGACGGTCTGGTTTTTAGCATTTTTGATCTGCTGCCTTGGGGTCTTTTAGTACACATCTGGCTTGGGGCATGGGTACTTGCCTAGGATCGAAGGGGTACATATGTACTGAAGGGAGGGCCTGGCGGTGGATGCATGTACCCGCGTTGTCCGTCCCTGATGCAACGCCGTGCATAAAATGGGACTCGACCAGACTTTTTGGCCGAAGCAATGCGCGCGCTGCGTCGGTTCCCCGGACCAGACGACAGTTGCCTGCCAAGCAGGCTGGGGTGTTTGTCGACGTTGCACGCCGGACCGTGCTCATTCGCTACCCGGGTGGTGTTTTTGCAGTTGGTGACGATGGCACCCGGCCTGCACCAATATTAAAATGACATGGACCCAGAGCCTTATCAGCCGCAAAAGCGCAGCTGCGCCTCTGACGGCGCGGAGTCGCGCGAGACAGGCCTGGGTCTGCGCTGCAATGACGAAGCACTGAGCACACATGCACACACACGCAAACGGTCATGGTCTGGTGGCAGAGTCCATGTCTAGTGTGGCCAGTGGCCAGTGGCCAGTGACCGAACCTAGCCGCCCCCCGAATTCTGTGCTGCCCCAACTTGCCCCGACTTTGCCCCAGAGCTCCCCCAGCTCCCCTGCCTAATCGATAAAGATCCAGGCGGTGTCTCCCCCAGCTGTGCCCCCATCTGCGCCCACATGTGCCGTGGAAAGCCGCTTGCATCTGCAATCCACGCCGTCTCACTCGTCAGAATCACCATGGCTCGTTGACTTTTTTGTTTTTATCTCGCTGGCCGCGGCGCAGGACTTTGTGGAGAGAGGAGGAGATTTGGAGCAAAGGGAGGGGTTGGTTCGTATGGCTGGAGTGTAGCGTTTTTGTTTAAGAGAGTTTTGCGCGGCCCTGTTTCTGGGGCTGCGGTGCTTGTTCCTCTTGACTTTGAATTTATTTTTATTTTCTTCTTCTATTTTTTGTCTCGAGTCCCCACTCACAACGCCTTGTTCCCATCAAGATGGAGATGAAGATTGCTCTGGGACATCTTGGCATGTACCTGGGACTGTTGGCTGGAGCTGGACTGCTCTATGTGAGTGCTGCTTCTTTTTGCGTCTATTGGGATTGAAATTCAGACGGTGAAGGGTGGTGGCGGCGACTGGACGAGTTGTTGAGCAGCCAGCGCCAGTCGATACATGTCGGTTGCACAAAGATCAATCAAACGACACGGATGGCTAATGGGAGATTTGATTTGATAGGCCTTCGGTCTCGTCGTGTACAGAGTCTTCTTCCACCCCCTTGCCAAATATCCCGGTCCTTTCCTGGCCAAAATCACCGATGCATACCAGCTCTATCACGCTTACAAGGGCGACCGCCACCTTGAGTTCTGGCGCATGCACCAGAAATATGGTAAGAAGAATTTCTCGAATCCCGAGAGACTCCTTCTCCCCCAGACGTTGGATTGCTGACACAAAATCTTCCAGGCAAGGTGGTTCGATTCGGTCCCAACTCCGTCTCCTTCAACTCCAACCAGTCCCTCAAGGAAATCTACGGCTTCAAGTCCAACGTGCGCAAGGCCGAGTTCTACGATGCCTTTGTCCACCCAGCCGCCAACACGCACAACACCCGCGACAAGGACGTCCACGCCCGCAAGCGCCGCGTCCTGTCGCACGCCTTCTCCGAGAGTGCCATGAAGGAGATGCAGCGCTACATCCTCGGCAACGTCCGCACCTTTTGCGACCAGATTGGCCTCAACGATGGCGGCGCCGACGCCAAGGGCTGGACGAAGCCGCGCAACATGAGCGACTGGTGCAACTACCTGGCCATGGACATCCTGGGCGACCTCAGCTTTGGCAAGGCCTTCCACATGCTGGAGAGGCCCGACAACCGCTTTGCGCTGGAGCTGGTCGAGGCCGCCACCACGCGCCATCTCATTTGCGGCACCATGCCCATTGTCGACAAGCTCAAGATTGACAAGTTCTTGTTCCCCAAGCTTGCTGCCGGTCGCGCGAGATACATGGCCTACAGCAAGGGCCAGCTCACCGAGCGTACCAAGCTCGGCGAGGAGACGGATCGACGTGACTTCTTTTACTACTTGCTCAAGGCTCGCGATCCCGAGACCGGTCACGGCTTCACCACTCCTGAACTCTGGGGCGAGTCCAACTTGCTGTAAGTGTTTGGGAAGGAAAATGCGTCGGAGAAGCTACAATGAGAGAAGCTGCTGGGCGTCCGTCATGGGGAATTTTCTTTTTTGCTGACTATGAGTGTTCAAAATAGCATCATTGCCGGCTCAGACACCACGTCCACCGCCATGGCCGCAACGATTTTCTACCTCGTGCGCAACCCGCACGCCCTGAAGCGCGTGACGCAAGAAATCCGCACCAAGTTCAGCGACGTCGAGGAGATTGTCCACGGCCCCCTCCTGGGATCGTGCACGTACCTCCGCGCCTGTGTCGACGAGGCCATGCGCCTCTCTCCATCCGTGGGCGGCATCCTACCCCGTGAAGTGCTCCCCGGCGGCATCACCATCGACGGCCAGACGCTGCCGCAGGGCACCGTCGTCGGAACTCCCCACTACACCATCCATCACAACGAGACCTACTACCCCGTTCCGTATGGCTACGCGCCCGAGCGCTGGCTGCGCGACGAGGTCAACCCACTCACCGGCAAGACCACGACGGAAGACGATGTTGCCCTCGCCCAGAGCGCCTTCTGCCCCTTCTCCATCGGACCCCGTGGCTGTATCGGCAAGGGTCTGGCCTACGTCGAAATGACCACCACTCTGGCCAGAACAATCTACTTGTACGACCTGCGACGAGCTATTGGCGTCGTTGATCCCGGCGAGGGCCGCGCCGACCTCGAGTGGGGGCGACACCGCGTGACAGAGTTCCAGCTGGTTGACACGTTTACCAGTGCCAAGAAGGGTCCTATGGTTGAGTTTAGGAAGGTTGAGAAGGCCTAAAGGCGGCGTTTGGTCTCTTTGTGGACATGGATGCAAAGATTTGGATGGGGGGTTTTTGGGTAGTATAATGGTTTAACGGCATTCACGGACGGGTAAATCTGTAGTTTCTGGTTTTTACTCTGTGACTAGTAGTTTCTGCGTAGTTTCTGCATTAGGGAGATGGTGATATGGGGTGGAAGATACTAGTTGTTATTTCTGATTAAAAAAAAAATTGAAATCTCATCTGCGGTGCTTCTGTGATTTTTTTTTTTGTTTTTTTGTTTTGGCTTCTCCATTTGGTGAATGGTGAACATACTGCTGTAGACGGGGTTAACGAGGTATATTCTGATGCTGTGGCCAGGTCGTCAGGTGAGCCTAAGCATCATTGATGGCTAATACGGGACCTTGTGAGTCTCATGTAGAAGTCGTACATGATTTTTTGTTGTTGCAGTGCCAAAAAGATAGTATGGGTTACTCTGTACTGGGATAGATTGATGAAGGGACCAACTAAGTGCGTCCACTGTCAGCCCCACTGCCGAGCTTCACAGTTGGATTGACCCTCCTCTGTGCTCACGCACAAGGTACTTGGGTACCTGCCCGAGGATTTGACCAGCCCACCAACTGCATCAGGCTCGCAAGGCTGACGGATTTCTTCAATGTTCTTTGCGTCCCAAGCTGCAACGCGCGACTGACCTCCGCTCCAGACCCGATTACTCAACGGATCGGTTGCGCCTCCACGAGGTCGAGCATATTGATCTTGCCAAAGGACCTGCTCAAAGTCTCAGGTCCTCGGATTGACCCAGCTCTCGAGATGAAGTTATAGCCTGCGAAACTACCTACTCTCGAGCCCTTCGTTCGAGCGAACCGCCCACCATGGCGATATGCAAATTCTACCAGCAGGGCTATTGCAAGTTTGGCAGTATGTCCACCCCAATCATCTCCCAGATCTAGATGTGCAGACTTGATGATTGACCCTGTACGCAGGTACTTGCCGGTTTGAACATCCCGATGCTGGAAATAATCGAAACCAAAGCCAGAATCGCTTCGGCACTCTTGCTTCCGGCGCAGGAGGTGGCAGCCGCGGAGCATTACAAGATGCACTCGGTAAACAAATTCTTCATCCATCTCTGACCAGTAGCGGCGGCGCTGACTCTCTGCAATCGCAGACAAGTACAGCATCGTCACCGATACCATGGTCAAGGACCTGACGAGCGAGGCGCCGCAATGGATTCTGTCGGCTTACGCGCCGGGGAGGAATGCCCCGGAGCAGCTGTTTGGAGGATACCCTCGAGAACAGAGCTTCGAAGAGATGAGATTACACTTTATGATGGGCAAGGCGGCAGGGAATGAACAACAGGCTGTGAGTAGCCGCCCACTCGGACACTGAATTTTTCTTCATTTTTTCTTTTCCAAAAGAGACCTGGATTGTTCTGACCCATTCGCAGCTCAATCAAGCACAGGAACTCTATCAGAATGCCCAACAGCAAATGCAAAATGCTGTACGAAATATCGACGAAGCTGCCCGATTCGTCGTGGAAGCCGAGAGCAAGCACCCCAACCGATTGGATGTCTGCCGAGAAGGATCTCAGGGGGCTCCCTTTGGCGAGTTCCAGGTTGGAAAGAGACCCAGCGGTATTGCTCAGCCGGCGCAAGCCAATCCTTTCAGCACCGACTCTACCACCACCGCATCACCGTTTGGCCAAGCTGCTGCTCAACCAACGCCGAGTGCCTTTGGGCAGCCAGCAGCCCTGGGACAACGACCAAATCCTTTTGGCACACCGGCATTTGGCCAACCGGCTCAGCCAAGTTCGGCATTCGGCCAGCCTTCTCAGCCATCGTCGGCATTTGGACAGCAATCATCGCAGCCGGCGGCCCCCGCGTTTGGGCAACCGTCCCAGCCAACATCCGCCTTTGGACAGGCATCTACCCTTGGAGCCAAGCCGAGCCCGTTTGGAACGCCGTCATTTGGTCAGTCCGCTCAGCCTACGAATTCACAACCCGGCGGATTTGGCCAGCCCAGTCAACTGGGCGCGAAGCCGAACCCCTTTGCCTCTGGTGGCGCGGCAAACCAAGGTTCCAGTCCGTTTGGATCTCTGGGAACTGCCAACAATGCACAAGCCCCTGTGGCAGTCAACCCCTTTGCGAGTTCAAACGCCGATCAGATCAATGCTACACCAAATCCCTTTGCATCTAATAATTCGAACCAGAACAACACCGGCCAGCCAAGTCCGTTTGGACAACAACAACCAACACAGAATCAAAGTCCCTTCGGCCAAGCTTCAAGGCCGAATCCCTTTGCTTCCACCACTACAACGGCGAACCAACAAGTAAACAACCCCTTTGCTCAGAGTACCCAAAACCAAACCAACGGTGTCTTTGGAAAACCCTCTCCTGCCCCATTCGGCCAGGGTGCCTCACAGCAGCCGAGCTCCTTTGGATCGGCAAGCCAGCCCCAACAAGCCGTTGCTTCTGCAACTGGCGGCAATAATCCATACCCTCCAGAGAGCACGAAGCAGCACCCTTCCCTAGAGAGCTACGCGTCCAGGAATATGGATGGGACGCTGGCGGCATTCAAAGGCAAGCCTGTTACCTACAAGGACGGCAAGCCCGGAATCAGAGCATTCGACGGAACTTGGACACGCATATGGTTCCCCGACGGCGCGCCAGGGTATTACAAGGATACTGAACTCTCCGTTGAAGCTTTCGACGAGCAGTCCCTGGCTCAATGGGCGGCGTTTGCGCAAACGGGCCAGTTTGCGGAAGGCATAATGCCCGAGTTGCCGCCGCCTCGGGAGTGCACACGGTGGGATTTTTGAAGAAATTGTATATATGTTCATGGTTGGCCATGGGAAAGGGGTTATATCGATAGCTCGGGATACATAGGTTTGATGCATATTGCGGCGTTGACGGATTTCATATACGGCCATGGCAGATGATTGGGATGATTGGGGGGATTTTTGGACCTGCAGAGCTATCGCAACATACGGCATGTATATGTGGCCAGAAGATCCTGGGCTTGACAAAAGCATGTACACCAAATGCACAATTTGACATGATTGACCACTTTGCCCTTTTCCAACGACAGGCCAATTGCCCATTTCCTACATCTACGAGCACACATTGCACATAGGGGTCATGTAGCTGCACAAAACCCAGTGTATTGAAACTGTCTGCGCCTAGCACACTTGCCACCTCAACACGCCACGCCACGCCCAACCAGTCTTGCCATTTAAGCGGCAATAGTGACCTCGACCTCGACGCCGGCATCGATGTTGACAATGATTTGCTTGACAACCTCGGTAGGGGCGTGAAGACTATCAAAAGAAACAAGAGTCAGCAAGAATAACACGCACACGGCCTAACGTGGCAGCCGGAAAGGAGCAGAGCATGAAGACGCACTCAATGAGACGCTTGTGGATGCGCATCTCGTACGAGTCCCAGGTCTTGGAGCCCTCGCCGCAGGGAGTCTTGCGGGTGGTGATCTTCAGCGTCTGCGTGGGCAGGCGGACGGGGCCCTTGACGCGCAGGTCCTTGCTCTTAGCACGGTCGAGGATCTCGGTGCACACCTTCTCGAGGACAGTGACCTTGCGGGAGGTGAGGGTGATGCGGATCTTGTGGGCCTTCTGTACGTTGCGAAAAAAATAAGTAAGTAAACGTCAGTAAATTATCTAGGGGCACGAAAAAGAAGATTCGTCTGGGGCGAGGGGAGCTTTTGTCCTTGTCGTCGGCTGTCGTGTATAATGGGGCTTTTGGGGGATGAAACGTACGGGGCCTTCGCCAATGTCCTTTTCGGCCTTGTTGTAAGACATGTTTGCTGGTGGATTGGAGGGATGTAGAGAAAACTTCACGACTCGACACGCGAGGGAATCGGCGACGTTATCGGCAAAGTGATGAAGTTTGCTTTGTGGGTTGGTGAGAGGTTCAAAGATCGCGAACTATTTGGTGGTGGGGTGTTGGATGTATTTTCCCAGGTCGTAGGGCTTTTTTTGTGCGCGCTAGTCCTGATTGGGGTGTTGGAGGGCAATCCTGCCTGCCTGTGGAAAGGGTACGTACCAGCTGCAAGGTATGTGCAGTGTGGGGCGGCCGGTTGGCGCTGCGGCTCTCTTTGCGTGACGTTGGAGCTTCAGCGAGGCGGCATGTGTGGAACTCAGGATGATTCATCCGGCAGGACGGACTGTGAAATATATATTTCAACATGCTTCCGTGGACGCCGTTGATTTTTCATACAATGGAATAAGCACCGGGGACTGCGTCAACGGACTACTCTCGTATCTCTTTTATTCTTGGCCGTATTCATCCCGGCATCACTCCGCACTGAGATTACACCCGACATGCGTCTCCCCCCGTTGGCAGCCTTCCCCAAGGCCTCGTGGCAGCAACAGCTTCCGCCTCAGGAATGGGACTCCCTTGTGCAGGCGTGGGTAGCGCTCTGCAGAGCCTATCTAGACCTCTCCGACGACGACTTCAAAAGGCAGACTGAATCGCACGCCTCCCTTGTTACATTCTCATCGACGTTTGTGCATGAAGTTGTCGCGGCGCCTTTGATGCCAAAGTCGACATTGCTCCTCCGGCCCGTGTTCCACCTGATTTCGCGGCTTTTAAGACTCTTAGCTCCTCCAGTTCTATTGGAATATTCATTCCTCGCGGATTTTGCCAGGATATATCCCAAAAAACGCACCTCTCCGCTCATCGCAGGCCTCTTCAGCACTCACTCGAGTAGTACACTCATTGAAGCCTCTCTCACGACTCTCAAGAAACTGCTCATTCCAATCCTCGACTCCGGCATCAAAGGGGATCTGAAATTAGTGGAGGCTAAGCTTGTCTCGCTTAGCCCGTTGTTACACGTATCACCACACTCGTGTATACAGTTACTGGCTGGATCAGATTTCTTCGAAGGACTGGTGACGTGCTTTAAGGTTATGAATCCGCCGTTGAGAAAGGCCATTGTCACAACCACGTATCTATGCGTAGTTGGGCTGACAGAAGCGGAACCGCCAAAGTGGTCGATGCTGAGTGACCAGTTGTTTACGCTGAAGACTGTTGCCGAGGAGCACAGGATGGGACCACTGAATGCAAACGACTCGCTTGTGGCGGAACTGGTTACCGCGACGCCATTGTTGAAGGTCCTGCTGAGGAGGGCTGAGGAACGTGGTGCTGCTACGGAGAGCTTAAAGAAGCGGATTACTGCGTTGGAGCCCTTTAAAAAAGGACCGATGGCAAGGCCAAAGCGGCCTAGCAGGAGGAAGGTTGATAAAGGTAAGGGGAGGCAGACAAATGAAGATGTGCGGGCTGAAATGCATGTCCATCACATGAGTCAAATAACTCATGTTCAAGACTTGTTCCCCGACCTTGGAGCTGGGTTTGTGTCCAAGTGTCTGGATGAGTACAAGGATGATGTGGAACTGGTCGTGGCGAATCTACTTTCGCAATCACTGCCGCCTCACTTGGCTACAGCGGACAGGAGCGAACCATTGTACGTGGAGTCGGGACATCAATTTCAAGTATACTGGAACACACAAAGTCATTGTACTAACAATTCATACACAGATCGCCTCACCAAGACATTCCCCATCACTCAAACCTGGCGCCTCGATCTACACCACCGCAGGTTCCAACTAGACGGAACGTCTTTGACGATGACGAATTCGACCGCCTCAGCGCTGACGAGTCCAAAATTTCATTCGGCAAGAAGCCGCAGAAAAACGCTGATGAACTCCTAAAAGACAAATCCACAGCGCCAAACAAGGCTGCCATTCTGTCTGCTCTTGCATCATTTGACTCCGATGATGACGAGCGCGATGACACATATGATGCAGCTGATGTAGGCGGCACTGTGGACACGATGAACCAAGAAGCGGATGGTGTAGATGATGGAAATGAAGAAATCCTTTTCCGAGCATATCATTCGGACGAGAAGGTGTTTGGCCGAGATGTTGGCACAAGAAGGGGCAACGCGCGAACGAAACTGAGGGAAGAAACCGGTATGACGGATGAAGCTATAGAGGGATGGGCAGTCATGCTGGCACGAAATCCTCAGCAAAAGAAGAGACTAGACGCCAAGTATGCTTTTGCAGGGCAACAGGTCCGACTCGAGCGCACGGCCTGGAGAGCCAGTCCAGCAGAGCCGGCAACTGAAGATAGTGACATTGATGGCGGAGGAGGCAGAGGTGGACGCGGACGCGGAGGAGGGCGAGGACGAGGGAACCGCGGCGGCAACGTTGCTGGACCGACTGGTGAGAAAGAAACTGAAGCGGCGAGGAGAAACAAAGAGGCACATAAGGGGTCTCGAGCGAATCATAACAGGAGGGATGCCCGAGCAAAGAAGATGGCTCGCGGTGGTTTTGCTGGCTGATGTGGCCCGGGCCTACTTGCCAATTCTCTTCCTCTTTGGCTGACTCCCCGAGTCGTAACCCGAGGTCAATATGGGGGTCTGATCTAGGCAGATAGATCCTCGCTTCGGCACTTGCTCCAAGGCAGTAGCTTCAAGAACATCCCCAAAGTCCGGTTCTCCTGGAATACCACGGGTCTCATCTATTACAAGTGTCGTTGGATAATAATACCCGGCCGATTCACCATCTGGGAGGAACTCAAAAGGCGGCATCGGTGAAGCGCTGTTTACGAAAGATGAGCCAATTTCCTCGATGCCCGTGCCTCCACTGTGGCAATCTTGTGGTGTAGCCAACTCAGATACATGCTCATTCGGCGTCCAGTCAGGCTCCGCTTCACCCCTGTAGTTGATCATACTCTGTAACGATGCCCGCGAGCTTCTTCGGCTGTCTTGGTATGTTTTCAGGTCATAACACCGTCGACAAGAAGGGTAGGCGGCATAACGGTCCTCTTCGTCTCGGGCCTGAGGCAACTCAGGACGACGCTGCAATCCGCATTTCTCCTGGATGTCGTCAAAGATATCAGCAGCAGGAGTGAAGAATGTGATTCGAGGACCAGGACCCCAGTACTTGTTACGTCCCCATAGCTGGCCATAAAGACAATTGGTTTCTGCATCCACGATGGCAGCACCACTGTCACCCTCAACTCCAATACCTCCACGTATCCAAGAGTCCTCACTACTACATGAGGAGAACGGCTCTTCCACAAACCATTCACGAGTTGCTTTTCCGGTACCGTTCTCTTCAGCGCTTACATAGGCGGGCATTTCGCACACCGTCCCTCTTTGGTAGCCTGATGTTCGGCCGCTGGATACGACAGCAGCACCCGGGCTGATGCCGCTCGTCCCGCCGCATACCGATCTAATGAGGGGTTCCATAATGATCGGCTGAGTTTCTGAAGGGAAGCGACGAAGAATGTTGGCTCTGCCTCCCGACTTTCTGCTAGAAGTTACGAGAGCCCAGTCAGTGACTACGAGTGGTTGCTCCATCTCGTTGTCCCCCCAATAGGGATCATGTGAAATTCTTGTCGTCTTCAGATTCAGACCAGATGTAACGGTAAGAAGACCCAGCTTGAAGTCTGTCTCGTCCGAGAGGCAGTCATGTCCCTCAGCTAAACATGGACCTCGGTCCTGCGGGGAAGGGTGTTCGATCTTCACCATTGGCAAGTTCTGGTACGCAGCCAAAAAAGGGTGAAAGTTTACTAGCCAGTATGATCCCCCGTCAACGTCTAAGCAAGGACCCAATGTGGCTGTACTCTCCTCAATAAGTTCCTCTCCCGGAATGCCCACACTGTCACCCATACATGGACAACTGAAATGGTATGGGTTCCTGGCAGACAGAATGTCATCCGGGTGCGTCTGACTAAGGCCTCTAGCCCAGCGTGCAGCACGACTTATTTGGCCGACAGAGAAGACAAAACTCACTAAGCGTCTATACTTGTCAGGGAGTAGGTCGGCGACGTGTCGGGCGATGACGATTTTCCGGGTTCGCGATAACATTGCTGTTGTCATTATACAAATTCGGCGGTGTTGGGCCGTTCGACCCCTCGTACATGAAATGACATGACGAGGACCGGACCATTTAGGGACAAACTCGGCCAGGAATGGAAGGATGGAATGCTCGAAAACGAGTGGGAAGCTGGCTGTCTCGAGGGTACGGGTCGTTCGTGCCTGGACAAGGTCTGTTGGGACATGTCCGGCTCGAGGAGTACCTTCGTTTATTAGCTGGGAGTCTAAGTTGAGGGAAAGTCAAGCATCGGATGACAAATGCAGAGGGCACAGGGAAGTCATTTTGAACGTACCGGCATTCTTTCGAGCTTTCTTTTCGATGATGGTCCATAACCGGTCTTGGCATTTCTTCTTGGCCCTCGCCACCGTGACATTTTCCACAGCTGCCTTGGTTTCTGAGTCAACACTTATTGCCGACTTTGTTGGCGTCGACTCTGTGTTGTGATGAAATTTTGGACTTGTCTCTCTGTTGTCTGCGGCGGACGACGGTAGTTTCCATTCCTTGACAGCATCCTGCCCAGACCCTGGATGTTCTACGGCAATATGGGATGACAACTCACGCCTGCTCTGGAACGGTTGATCGGAACACTCTAACACGGGGCACATAAGTAAGTGCTCAACTTTAACGTGCCAAGCAAGATCTTTCCGGGTGGCGAAACTTGGCTGCGGGCATCCAGCCCAACTGCATGCGTGAGTGTGCACAGCTTGAACATGAGTCTGGAGATCCGCATCAGACGCGAACGAAAGATGACAGTGGGGTGCTATGCAAACCAGCTTTTTGTAGTTGGCAAGCTCAGATTCTGTATTATCCCTGGCATGTTCGTCTGCGTCTTCTTTGCCAATCTCTCTGCCCAGGTGACTTGGACTTGGCGAGCGTGGACCGATCAACACTTCACCTTGTTCTGTTTGGACAGGAGAAAGAGTTGATCCTGTCGAGGATGGAGCATCGAGACTGACGGTGCTTCTCAAGTCTTTGGACGGAAGTGAATGACGATTTGGCCAGCGTGGATCGAACTTGTCGTGTCCATGCAGTCTGTCATACAGCTCCTGAGGATCGTGGAGGAATGGAGGTATACTTAGGAACGTTGGTGGAACGCCTTTGTCCGTGGACCATTGGATATCCTCGGGCGAGAGCTGTAGTCCATCGGGAGTCATGTAGAGCGAGTCTATGGCGGGGGGATAGCCGTGCCCAACGTTGTGACCGGTCGCATCTTCGAATGGCCCTTGTGGCGCCAGGGACGGCGCGGCTTGGAGACTCGGCGGCCGGGACCGACAAGCGGCTTTCCTTGCCCGTCGGACCTGTTGCCCTCGATCAAGCATGGCGAGTTGTATTTTGCCAATGGTTCAAGACGCTGCCAAGTGTAGTGAAGGTCATTGAGGAATAAAGGCTTCAAAAGACGCCGACCCGGAGATGGTTTGGTGTCTGAGGTGTCGAGTTCGACCTGGAAGTTGCAAGATCTTATGGAAGGAGCACCCGATCTTGTTGGGCCGAATAAATACTCCGCACATGGGGGCCAAAGGCAAGACAGGCAAGACAAGGCAGACGGGCCGGACCAGCTGTTGGTTGCCTCGCGAGGGGAAGGCGGCCTCCCGGGCGAACCACCTTCTTGACGTCGGCTGACGGGCATTTCTACATACGAGAGCCACGGTATGCCACTGGAGAGATGTGAAGGTACGTACGATGTGCCATCTATATTCTATTTACCAGATTGTGTTCAACCACCAACTTGTTGGCTCGACACACTTCACCGAACCAGTACTGCGGGTGTAATACCGTGAGCAAGATAGACATGAAAACCGTCGGAATACTGTCCAACGCGATGAAAATACCCTCTTTCGACGCCAGAGGGCCATTAAACCCGTCACTCAACTCGGCGACCCTCCAACAAGAACGGATAAAGAGGCAAGCAGCGGCCAACGAGGCACCTAACACGACAGTTAATCCCCGGCTGCCGTATCGCCCAGCCATGTCAACTCACCGAGCATATACCACCGCATTTTGTCATATCTGAGCCTCAATTGCAACTTCTTGTAAACGACAAAAAGAACAACACAGAAAATAGCCGTACATAAGACTTGCGTCGCCAACCCCGCAATCATCAGATCGATACCAACTGGACTATCCGCGAAAATGGCCGCAAGAGATCCGCCACACCCTATAAAGCAGAGACAAGCAAAGTCTCCAAGGATAAAGAGAGTGGCAAACAACCGGGGTCCTATGTGTTTTACTCGTGCTTGAGAGTAGTGTCGCTGAAGCATGCTGATCCCGAGATACAGGGAGGATGAGAGAAACGTCGGACCAAGTGTTAGGCCAATGATGTACCTGGACACATTGTAAGAGACTCCTTTCCCAACAAGTCAGACACTTCCTTTCCATTCTGAAAGACTTACATAATGTATCCATTTTTGTCTCTGCGGTTATTAGAAAGCAGCAACTTGGCAATGTACCCTAAAAACTCCAAGAGTACACCGCACAACATTCCAATAGAATAGCCATAGTACCTCCTGAATTTACATGCTAAGAATGTATGAAGAAATAACAAGATTCCAAATATAGCAGTGAATATGGCGCTTGGCGCGAGAAGAGGAGTAAAAGGAAGGGCTCCCTCACCGTTGGGTGGGACATGGATTGTGGAATTGGTACTATTATCCATCACGGGCAGATATCCACACGGAGTTGATCAATTGATTCGGTAATACGAAAAAAAAAAACATTAACAGACACCATGAAGACCAGAACTTTAACAATTTATTCAATTCTACCTTACAAAGGCCCCCGACTTCCTCCACGAAAGAGCCTCGAAATATCCGCAAAATTGCCGCGGTACCACCGCTCTCCGACCAATAAGGCCACCTTGCTTGACAAGTTGTCGGCAACCCATCCGCACAATCTCCGCCCGTATCCCGCTTCTAATATGGAAGCGCATGCCCGACACAACTCTATGCATTACAGGATTACAAGAAACCGAAAATGCGGCTGAAACGCGGGCTAGAACGGGAGTCGTGCGATTTCTGTCACAGACGCAAGATCAGATGCGATCGGTCTTCCCGACTTGCTGGCGGTGAGCCCAAGTGCTCTCAGTGTGATTTACGACAGATAGCCTGCAGCGTTGATGATTCCAACGACGTTCGCATTCAGAGGAGGAAACAGACGAGAAGTGCCCATGTTGCCATATCGGACTCGGGATATTTTCAAGAAGCCGGTTCCGCCCCCTCAAAAGATGCGCCTTCAACCGCAACCTTAGAGCCCGCCATTGCGAATCTCACACCACAGGGAACAATATCTCCAGATACGCACAACACACCATTTACAGGGACACCATCCTTTCTACTATCAGACAATCTATTTGACCTCAGTGCGGACAGCATACTGTTTCTCGACCAAATCTTCATGGGGGATCCGTCGTCCTCAGAATGGACCAACACGCCACTGAGCCTCGCGCCAAGTCAGGACCAGCTTATATCAGAGGCACTCTCACCAGACGATCAACATCATGAGCTTTGGGAGAGCTGCAACATGGACTCGGCCACGTTCAAAGCTGCCCTTAGGCTCTACTTCACCCACGCGGCATTATGCCTGCCCATCCTCCTCCAAGACGCCTTCTGGCAGGACTACGAATCAAACAGGTGCTGCCACGCGCTTATATACGCCATTGCCTGTCGTGGGATGCCATTCACAGACCTCCCCGACAAATGGGAGATGCAGCAGCGCCTGGCCAACAAGTTTAAAGAATCCTTCTTCGAGCACCAGTCGACGCCTGGCCGGGGAACAGACCGCCTCGACGACATCGAAGCACTGGCGCTCATGACGAATTTCCAATACGAAAACAGCACGGCATCTTCCCTGCCGGCACACATGGAAACGCTGTTTCTATCTCTCGACTCACTCGTCATGATGACGTTGCAGTATCGCCTCGAGGAAAATGCCTCGTCCTCCTCATCCCTTTCTCGAGCGCCCGAGCGTCGAACCCTTCTATTCTGGCACGTCTACGGCCTAGATGCCTTCAACAACCTCGACCACAAAAAGCTGTCACGCATACCGGATACCGACATCGATATCACGGCTTCGTTGCCCAGGAACGAAGCCCACAGCTACCTGGATGCCATCCTGTCGCTGGCGATAATTGCGCGGAACATGGGACAAAAGTTCTGCACCGCAACATGTAGAAGACAGGGCGTGAAGCTCGCAGACGTCGAGGCACTATACAGGCAGCTCGATTCTTGGAGAGCCAGATGCCCGGACTATCTGCGCCATTGCGACAGCGGCAGACCGTCTAGGACGGACGTCCATGTTCAACTGCAGAGGTGCGTGATGCGTCTCCTGGAAGCGAGCTGCTACTTGCAGATTCAGGGCTTCGTTGACGAATACGGAATCTGCCAAGAGGCCAATCTCGGTGGCGAAATGGCTTGCTTCAGAGTCGAATATGAGAGCGTACGGGCCGTCAGGGACGCCGTAGACATGTGTAATTGGATGGCAAGGTATGACAATGACAGGCGTGGCACACACACGCTTGTTGATCTGGCGCCTAATATCCTGCGCGACATATGTGCAGGACTGGGTGTTTGGGCGAGTATTCGCGGGACAAAGCTCATAAAGGGCGAGAGCGTCTCGTCCCCCTATGTCATTAAAATCAAGGGGTGGAGGGAGCCGGCCGGTGCGGAAGACGCGAAGAAGCGGAAGCTTTGGGAGTATCTTGACACGGCCAAGTTGTTTCGTAGTACTGTTGCGAGGGCGGTTTCCCACAAGGATACGGACAAGACACTCGAAAGGGTTGATGAGTTTTTGGGCCCGTTTATGGACGACTTGGAGCAGATGCAGGCGGACACGGTGAGCTGAAGCTGTGACGAGGTCTTGTACGGTTTCTGCATAGGTTGGAGCGCAACGAGGGAACGATGAGGGCACGTCTAATACATTATATTTCTTGGTATACGCAAAATTACCCAATTAGCAAGTCCCATCTTGCTTCTTATGCCTCCCGATGAACCCACATGGTAAAACGCCGTTGATGCAATACCAACATATCTGCTGCCTTACAAGTCCGAGAAAAGCCCATCCACAACATTGCTCAGCATCCTTAAACTATAATACTTGGCCACCCTCCTCATAACCGTCAGCTTTCGCATAGTCTCCTGCCGAGATACTATTTCTTTCCACTCGCCACTGCACGTACAATGTTCCATCAAGTCATTAACCCGCAAGGCGCCACACCGGGAACACTTGAGATCCTGTGTTGCCCATTCCACCGTCCAAGCTTCCACCATGGACAAGAGTCTTTCTTCAATGGCCACGCGATCGTATTCCGTGCCACAGAAACTGCACTGCCAGCCTCGATCGTCGCTTCCTTGAAGATCTTCGTCCCTGCAAAGGTCCAAGTCGCGGGCCATTGTGCAGCTGTCGCATGATATTTGCATGAGCTTGAGACTCTCCGACGGGTTTGCAAACGTGCCTTCTTTGGAGAATTCTCGCACGTCGAATAATGCCAATAGCTCCTTACGCAACAGACGAGCTTCGAGTGTGATATTCTTGTCTAGAGAGAGAATTTGCATGAGCGACTTGACCAACTCCAGTACAGGGGCACGAGGAGTCAGGTGAGATCCAGGCAGGCTGGGGAAGCTATAGTCTTCCGCCAGCTCTGGATGCAAGAGCTCTCGCTTTTGTTGGCTTATAAGACTAGCAATGGCCTTTTTGAGTGGTTTCTCGTAGGCCTTTCCAAGAATGATCTGACTTTCCCCAGTTTCATCATTGCGATTGGGTAACTGTGTCAAACGAGGCGTTGAGTCGGGGTCATGGTTCGCCGGCCGCTTGAGATTGTGCATGAGTTGTATGAACGCAATGACCCATTCCTGGAAAATCGGTTGTAGCCGCACAGGTAGGAATGTAGCCATTTGCCAGTGCATAATGGTTTCAAGATTCTGTTCGTCCGCTTCAATGACCTCCTGGCATCCTTTGCCGCCGTAGTTGAACTCGTCGTACCACACCAAGTAATCCCAGTACTCTTTGATTTCGAGATCAATAAAGTGGAACAGAGGCTTACTCTTGATCGACTTAATGATGTACTGGCTGTAGGCGAAGGCGTTGCCAACTTCAGCCTTGGTTGTCTGCAGAATCAAGCGGTTGGCATTGGCAAAGACAACTTGTGACCCGACTCGTCTGAAGTCTGCCATGAGCTGCTGGAAGGCTTTCCGAGACATCATTTGCACGTAGTAGTGTAGGGCTCGGTCATACATGAAGGAATCGGGATTCTCGACCCAACGGACCAAATGTTGAACCAACACGTCCGCCATGGTGCTTCCCTTACAGGCCTCTGCCCACCATGCTTTGACCATCTCACGGAGGACAAGAACGCCAGAGTTGGCAAAGGCATTGTCCGAAGCCAAAGTCTCTGATCCGTCAGCGCCGCTCGGGTTAAATGACACTGAATCTGCCCCTTCTAATTCGTTGATAAGCGACGATGTCAGAATAGTGTTAATTGCCAAGTTTCGTACATCGAGGTCGATGCAGACTGAAGCAAAAGTACCCGGGTTGTTCACATTGGGCATCTTGACAGTATCCAGCGGACCAAGGATATCGTCCTTTTCATACCCAGCATGGTCGGGTCGTGGACCAGCCGACCACCATAGCACAACTCCATTAGCTTGCAGTCGACGAGCATAGGCAACGTCGATCAGGAAACGAGGGTCCTCCCGTTCCAGATTACAGAGAGGAACATCGCCATATCTCGCAAGGGCAGTAAGGTGTAATATCCAAGAGCCAAGGCCGAGGTAGTGACCAACCAGCCGCCGAGCCACAACAGCTTGCCAACCCAGCGGTGGAAGAGAACTATCCGTAGCATCGTACTTGAGGGGCAAGACAGGAAACTCTGCTAGGACAGGAATATCGTGGACCAGTAGGTTGCGTTGTGAAGACTGGATCACCATCATTTGTGGTCTAGATTCATCCTTTCGCATCTTCTTGACGACGTCACCGATTTCCAAATGGACTTTGCGGCGTGTAGAGACTTGAGTGATCTTGAATGCCATATTTTCCTGATACGCGAAACAGTCCTGCCAGTTCGTACCAGCTGCTTCTTCAGCTCGTTTGGCCAACATTTCTCTATACATTCGAGTAATGTTGGGAAGATCTTGACCAGAATCCTTGTTCTTCTGCATAATGATAAGATGACCCTGATCCGAAGTGGTCGAAAATATACCAAAGATCTGACGCTCGCCGGCTGTGATGTGAGATATATATATATAAGCCAGTTGAGATGACTCCAGGTATGTACGTATCTTGACAGGTCTCTTTAGGCCAAACAGGTCAAAGCCCTGTTCTAGACCCTTGCCAAGCACAGCATTCTGTTGTTCATCAATCACGCATTGGTTTCCAAGACGGAGAACAGCCCGGATATTCAGAGGTACTTGTTTCTCGTACACGCCTTCCACGCTAGGGTGATTGAACAGCAGGGAGAACTTGGCAGCTTCACTGAAGTACACGTCCTCTGGAACAGTAAGTTTAAAGAGATGGCTTGAAGGGTGGCCGTTCGGAAGAGTGTAATTAACCTGCTCGACCTCGCAGCCCGCGATATCAACATCAGGAAGCTCGCTGCCCTTGAGATTCAGAAAGACTTGTCGAGGAACCTTGACTTTCACAGCGTGAATTTTGGCATCAATCAAAATATGAGCAGTTACAACGCCAGGGCTGTCAGTAGCCTGCAGGTGAAGCAACTGCCAAGTATTCATGAAAGTGACGTGTGCTTGTCTCATAAATGACTGCTGAATGTTGTTGCCAGTCAGGCCTCTCCTGTCGCCGAACAATTGTCGCCTGCGAATACGAGCTTGTTTCTGCAGCTTCCACTTCTGCTTCTGATACTTCAAAAAGGCAGGGTAGTTTTCTGACGGATTCGGCATGACTTTAGGTAATGCAGCCATGGGGTCCGTGTTCTCAGAAGGTTCCGGGGATTTGCGTTTTTGAACTGTCGGTGCAGGCTGCGAGGAGGCAACTGCTGCACTGACTTGCTTTGGCTTGAGAAGTTTATTCCCAAAGTCCTCCAAGTCCTCCATTCGAGAGCCATTGGTATTTGTAATGTCACCTAGAGGCTCTTTCGTAAACAAATCTGTCAGCTTTTTTTGCTTCATCTTGTCATCCTTGATATTAATGCGTCTCTGAAGCCAGTCGGGGTGAGGCACTCGCGGGACTGGATTTCGAACTTTTTGCAAAGCAGCGGGGATGGTGATAAGCTTCTGAATAACTGAACCAAGACGCTCCAGATAATAATCCCAGTCCAGGAGAGCTCTTGGGTCCGTGTTGGTGGGCTCCTCCTTAAGCCACTTCTTCAAATATGTCCGCTTGATGGACTCTTCGGCAGAAAAGATGGCAACTGGGACGGCACGTTCGGTAACCGGAGCATTGCGTGGTCGTGCGCAGATGATGAATTTGCAATTGAGACCTTTATCCTTTACCATTTGCTCGCCTAAAAAGTCGGCAAGACGTTTGGCCGTGGTGATACTGGTCGATTTCTGTGACCCATACTCTTCCAGCGTCTTGGACATGCTTCTGTTCTCCGAAATCAACTCCATGAGCTCTTCGTCGGCCAAGGTTGATCCCTTGTTGTGTAGTACATCGAGCCATTGATTTGCAACTTTGGCGACAGCGCTGTAGCACTGTGTCAAATCTTCGCCTTCTAGGAAGAACTTGAAGATTTGCTGTTGAAAAATCTTGATGAGCTTTAGTTCGCCGCGTCTCTTGACCTCAAATCCCTTCAATTCAGCAAGACTACCATCGTCATTGAAGACTGCGTATCGCTTCTTCAGGTTCTTATCTTCCTCCTTCGATGTTGGCAAAATCATTGCCTTGTAGGGGCCGTCGACCTCGAAGAAGATCGAGTTGTCGCTGTGTGTCTCGTACTTGAACGTTTTCGGGTCTACAAGAGTTTGATACTGGTGATTTGTGAACTTGTCATGAACAAGATGATTCAACATGACACAGGGATATGAGATGGAGAGCTTCTTTCCGTTTTTCAGTTTAAAGGCAAAGTTTTCGGGGAAGGTTGCCGGCAACATGCACCAAATACCATCAGTGTCAAGTTCCAGAGGTCTTCCCAATCGTTCCACAAGCTGTCGTGCCAGCTGAATAATTGTTGCACCAGTCAAACACGTAACACCAGCCATCTCCATGGAATACCATCGCGAACCCTTTCTCATGACATAACCATAGAACGAGTTCAGAATGACTTTGTGAGCCAGCTGTAGAGAATCATACAAGATGATCATCTTTTTGGCCGCGTCAACTTCACTTGCACTCGCGCCGGAGGATTTGAGTGAGTCGGTTTTGCCTTTCCATACTTTGGCCTTTCCTTTATAGTCGTATCGTCGGTCACGAAAGTCTCGTACGGTATTGATGTAAAATGGATTCTCTCTCTGGCAAATGATGGCCTCACGTACAATGGTAGTGGAATCGTGGATTTTGTGGTACACCTTTTGCGAATATATTTGGAGTCGTTTCCGTACCAGAGCGGCTTGCTCATCGGCACCCAGATCTGCGAATGTGCGCATTGGCGCCTGAGGTGTCTTGCCGGGAAACTTCTCGTTTTCCAAAGCATGTCGAATCATATTGTACTCGTCTCGCTTGGCGGGAAGATACTCTCCTCTCCAGGCCCAGGGCAATCTTCGGTCACATGTCTTTCCCGGTCGGTTGAAATCGCAAGCCGCACAATCCGATTCGTCAATCATAGAATCTGGCTGTAGTCGGTTTGTTGTCATGATGTTAGGATACATGGATGCGACGTCCAAATGATAGATGAGTGGCCGTTCCCGTCGGCGTGGCGTTTCCTTGAGTTTCATCAGCTTTGCAACGATTTGTTCCTTGACCTCATCGTAGTTCTCAATATCAGCTAGTGACTTCTTCTCCTCCACAGTGATAACGAATTTTAGCGCAGCATCTATATCGCGCAGCAACTCGTCAATAGCACCCGTGTCGACGGCAAAATCCACCGGAATATCCGCCCGGAAGACACCTGCCTCGATACTCTCAACGTGTCCTCCGACATATGTTTCCGAGTCTAGGAGATGGCCATCCCAGAATGCTTCTTTGGGAGACTGATGTTTGTTAGGAAGCACGATTTCCTTCTGATATGCCTGGACCATGAGCAACATCTCACACAGTGTACCAGTACCTTTTCTAAGTGTATCATCACCACCCAGGGGAAGAATGGTGCACAAAGAGAAGATGAAAGGGTGAACGTATTTCATGTACAGGAAATACGTAGCAACAGCATCGGAAACTGAGTATTCGGCCAAGGTCTGTGGTCTTTCATTGGCATAGGGTGTCATCAACTCTGGGTCGAGTTCGTCGGGGTCATATCCTAATTTTGCAACCGTGACAGCCTTCAGACCACGAGAACCTTGTGGCAAATAAGAGTCACGGTTGACCCAGTGGAAACAGTCCATGTGGACTCCGTAATTGCATTTGAATTGATCTTCACTGTCCTTCTTCCACCCGATCTCTTGGTACATATCGATACCATTGACGCTCGCTCTCGCTTCAACAAAAGGCCAATCGAAAAAGTCGCCGTTGTAAGTCGCGATAACGGTTGGCCTGGCTTCTTTTATGTGAAGAAAGAAACGCTCGATAACAGCCTTCTCATTTGGTTCGTTGAAGATCATAAAGGGGCCGGGATATTCTGGCTTCGGGGTGTAATCAAAATCGCCAATGTCTTCGGAAATGATTTCTCGATTTGTGATTAGGAACCCTTGGCCGTCAATCATATATGAAATCATCATGATTTGGTCAATGGCAGCGTCGGGGAACTTCAAGGGGAGTTTGGTTGTTTCAATATCAAATGCCAAAACAACTGGATCCGCGGGAAGCGATCGGTCTTCGTTGGGCAAAATCTTGGTTACTCCGTGCTTAACATCAATATAGTACCATTTTCCAACCCGTATATCTGTCTCGCTGTCAATATACTGGCCAAAACGAAACAAGAACGGATAAGGACGCACCAAGGTCTATCATTACTCTCACATGGTATGGTACATCATATTCGCGAATATCAACAATGTAGTCACTCGCCTCGGCGAATGGGTTATTCGTTCGTTCATCAGTTCGTAAATCGTCATCGAAAAGGTCAAAGTTGCCATTAGCTCTGTATATCATGTCAATACTCCATCCAAGTTGCATGAGAAAATCATGCATTTGCAACTTACGTGACAACTTCAGCATATGCGTCCATGGCATTCATATTCTTCTTGTTCTTCTCAGCCACAGGCATAATATCCCTCCTGGCAGCCATGAGGTCTGAGACATTGGCAAACTTGAGTTCCAAAAAGGTCCGCCGATAACCCAGCAGGTGGTTAGGCATGTTCAAGTCATCCTTCTCTACTCTGCGAATGGTTTTGATACACCCATCGCCAGGAACCCGCTTGATCCATTCCTCCACCTCGGATTCGTGGCCCTTCTTGACGGCAATCAGAAAGTAAGGATCGTACTCGACAGTCGCCTTGAATGTTGCACCATCATGCTCAATGAAGTAGCAATCAAGTGCCGCCCTTCCGCCGGGAATCCTCTCATCTTCAATGGCGGTGGGCTGAACATTAACGAGCCAGCCTTCCTTCTTCTTTCCACTTTCGTATCTCCCGAAGCCGAAGTTTTCGTCTATCGTTTGTGCGAGCCTCGTCCGTTCCCATTTCTCATCTGCCGAAGTTCCCTCTGCTCTTGAGGTAGCAGCAAATGTACGAGTCCGTTGGCCGTGAAAAGCAGATTTGCCGCCTCGGCGGAAACCCTTTTGTGGTTTCCGTAGGCTTGTGTTGGGCATTTTATGACTGCTATGTGTCGAGGAGCCTCAACCCTATTTAGAAAGATTGGCGGCTCGAGCTGCTGGTAAGGTAATCATGGGAGGCCACGATGATCAGAATTGGGTTGTCTTTGGAGTGTTTTGTATAATCAAAATCAAGTGGGATGGGACAGGTCTGATGTCCGCCTATCAAGTTCTGGGGCCAAATGGATGACCAACAAGAGCAAATAGAGTAACAATCGCAGCACGACTCAAGGGAGACGCGCCAGAGCGCGTTCATGCGCGACACGGTCGAGATCCACAAGTTTAATGGAAATTTAGCAGCTTCAGCCACACCAGTGGAAACCCGCAACTGTGCCACAAAAGGCGCCACATGAGGATACATACAATCAGGCCGTTCAATCGCAAGAAATCAGAACTGCTCCAGTCGTCATCGGCACTCGACCACAACGACAAATTAGTGACATCCCCGGTACCCTGGGCACTTTGGTAGCTTGGATATTTGGCTCCCTAATTCATGATATCAATCGATCTGCGGAGGTAGCCAGGGATGGCACCCAATGTCGAAAATGCGCAACCAGGCGCAAACCAAAAGACCCTGCATGTCTGGTCAAAACCTATAGAACAGCCCGACGAGTCGCAAAGCCTAGGAGGCGACAAGACGACGAATAATGCTAGAACTACAATTGCGGATGCAGTCGGTATGATCAAGACGGAGGATTTTACCAATGTTCACAATACACCGTGCGCCAGGCAAGGATTCCTTGCTGGTATTGCTGCTGGCGCCGGTGTTGGCGGATTGAGGTTTGTCCTGAGGGGTAAGGAACACTCATCTTTCCAACCCCGTTCACCAGCTAAGGATGCACTGACAATTCTGCTTGCAGGCAATGCCGTCAAGGCGGCGAATTGGGCTGTCGGGATGTTTATACTCGGAAGTACGGCATCGTACGAGTACTGTCAATACCTCCGACGAGCCGAGCGGATACAAATGAAGCGTCACATAGAAGTAGTGTCGGAAAATAAGAGAGATCAGGCTAGAAAGGCAGCGGAGGGGAAGAAGGAACGACTACAACTGGAACAAGAGCGGATGGCGGCGGCGCAGAAGCCTTGGTACAAATTTTGGTGACATGATATCATCGATCCTTGGATCATCTGTATAAAATGATGTACAACATGGGACCCTAGCAAGTGTTTGTAGATGCTAATTTCAAGATTAATACCTGAAAAGAACAAGAATGGAGAAGCAGTATGGCAATACCCCTAGCTTTGCACCCCGGAAAACCGCTCGAATCAAAGTAAAGAAAGGAAAAGTGTCAAGCATGACTGTGTAAACTCCGATTTCCCGCCAGAAATACTCTTCAAGTGTGCCACAAGAATATAGAAAAGCCCAATAAAACTCACTCGTCAACGCCCAGCCCAGCAAGGTCATACCATTCGTTATAGAGAAGCACGATCAGTGTTCTCGTCATGTCGTAGCCCATCATGTTATCACAACAGCACTCTGTCTTTCTGAATCCGCAAATCTGACCTTTCTCGAAGGTGATTTCTTTTTCAGCCGAGCGGATGGGGGTTCTTCTCCTCTTCGTCGCTGACTGCGCCTAGCTCTAGCCTCACTCTCTTCCCGTTTCCGATACTCGGCCATCTGATGTCGTCTGCGAACGGCTCTTGCTTCTGCCATGGCGGGTGTTGGCTTGAAACCCACTCCGTTGATGCCGGTACCATCATCGTCCTTGTCATAGGGGTCGTAAACGGTGATTTCATCATCGTGCCATGTGAGGGCCGCCCTGACCGGATCCACGATAATGTCATCTTCATCAGCAAAGGGTGATTCGCTTGCCTCTACGTCATACTTCTTGGCCTTCTTCGGTGACTTGTGCATATTAAGCGGTGGTGTACCAGCCCTTCTTCGACGGGGCGGTTTGTTTTCTGGCTCTGGAGCAGCCGCTACCAACGTTGGAGTCTGAGATGCGAGGTGCTCGGCAAAGGCGTTGAGCCCAGGACCGAAGGCTTGACTTGACCGTGGTGTAGGAGAATCTGTCACCGGCTGAAAATCTTCTTCACTGGCATTGGCCACGACTTCATCTTGCCTTTGTCGTTTCCGCGCAAAGTCTGGGCCATCCCCGACGTCTGCCTCGTGGCCGTGGTCATTTACAACCCCGCCCCCACTTCCAAGAGCCAGACCGCGAAACCGATGCGCAACCTTGGACCGTGGACTATTACTTCCATCGTCGGCGGATTCAGCAGTCGATGGATTAAAAGAGAATTTGACTGGGCTCAGGGAAATGTCCCCGCAGCGTTTTCGTTTTGGCGTTGCCTTTGGAGTAGGTGCATCCATGGTAGGCGAGTTGTGATGAGGAGATGTAGGATGACGATGCGATGAGTGCGCTGGTGGGACATCAAGCCAGTACATATGTATTTATGGTATATGGGGGGGGAAGAATAAAGAAAAAACACCAAGTCCTAGATCTAGTGGCTGGACAGAGACTTTGGTGGAAAAGTCAAAGAAAATGAATTAGAATCGGAGGCTGCATTATGTTGCCAACTCAAATGTTTGATTAAGGTACTTAGATGTAATGTAAACGCACATGTCGGTTGAGCATTGAACAGACTTAGCGCATTTGAACAGCCCGACGGCAGCAGCCATCATGCATGTGCACCAAGGACCAAGGTGTCATCCAAAAACGTCTGGTTCCAACGGCGTATCTTTGGCAGTAAGAGCCTTGGAAGATACGAAATCTGGCTGGGGCGGGCCAGAGTTTTCTATCTTGTCACCATGACGGCCAAACCTGGCATTAGGTACTTAAGTATACTTCACCCATCAATGCAACATGCAGGAAATTCCACTCTGGCCGCCATCTCTCTCGGACTTTGTTCCATGTGAACAACCACCCTCCCCGCTTGCAGGGTGGCATCCATGATGGCGAGTGCTTCAACAAACACCATTGACACATTGTGCACAGGCAACAAGTAATATGCAGCGCGTGCTCGAGCGCTCCATTGTACGACGAGCACGCAGGAGTAAAATGCGGGTACTTTGATGTCGTAGGGTCGTGCATGTCTGCATCGAGCTCGACACTTGTTCAGCCTATAAGTCCAAAACAGCCTGATTCCTGAACAGTCGTGCCTGTTACCACCATCGCCAGTTTACCCGCCAGCCCATTTACCCATGAGTCCACGAGGTGCTCGAATCCATTAAATTTTTACATACCAAGTATTTAACAATCTCTACCGCCCATATCGACTCGAAGTCTCAGATCAGGCAGGAACTGATTATCCCACTCCTTTGTCACGTCATCTCCCGCTCCTTGGCTTGCGCCACCAGACACCTCCAACATGCCAGATGCTCCGTTCGCCTTCCTCCCCTTGGGAGCCATCATACAATCCATCAAGGTCAACGATACAAACATCGTTCTTGGATTTCCCACCCAAGAGCAGTACGTGCAATACAACACTGCCTACTTTGGCGAGACCGTTGGCCGCGTTGCCAACCGCATCAAGGGCGCTCAGCTTGACAGCGTCAACGGTAAAGTCTACCCCTTGGCCGCCAACAACGGACCCAACACCCTGCACGGCGGCAATGTAGGCTGGGGTAAACGCATCTGGAAGGGCCCCGCGCCCGTTGGCATCAAACAGATTCCCGGGGTGCAAGGTCTCCAGGGCGGAGAGAGCGTCACCTTCACTCTTGTCAGCGAGGACGGAGACGAGGGCTTCCCCGGCACCGTCGCGGCCAAGGTCACTTACACGACGGGGACGCAGGTCGTCGACGGCAAAGAGGTTCTCCTTCTGGGGATTGAGTACGAGGCCGAATTGGTCGACGGCGCGGACGAGACGCCAATCAACCTGACGAACCATTCGTACTTCAACCTCACGGGGAGCGCCGATATCGAGGGGACTGTTGTCACCTTGGGTTCCAAGCTCCTCCTACCCAATGACGAATTCTCCGTCCCTACAGGGGGACCGGTTCCCCATGCCAGCATTGACACGACGCAGCCCTTCACTCTTGGAGCTACCGATCCCCAGGTTGACAACTGCTTTACCAAAACTGCGGAGCCGGCTTCTGTGCCCATTGACACTCGTTCACAGCCTCTTGTCCGTGATTTGGCAGCGCATCATCCCCAGACTGGAATCCATCTGGAAGTTCTGAGCACCGAGCCCTCTTTCCAGTTTTACACTGGGGACTTTACGAATGTGCCGGCCGTCGAGGGAGCTTCTGCAAAGGGTGGGCGAAGCGCCTTTTGCTGCGAGCCTGGCCGATGGGTGAATGCTGTCAATGTTCCTGACTGGAAGAGCATGACCATGTTGAAAAGGGGCGAGACGTATGGCTCCAGAATTGTATACAAGGCGTGGTCTGACTAGGGAAACCATGTAAGCCATACAGCCTGCTTAAATTACACATTTTCCCCCTTCCCGCCGATAATGGCTCTCTCCGAAATACACCCTCAGAAAATGCACCGCCAACTCCCTTATGCCACGAAAGTCAACACATATCATATGTAGTACATGTAAATCAGGCTTCTAAACCTTGTGTCTGTTGCGTTTCAACAGGAACTCGTACCGTCTGCCAACATCACTGCCAATCGTACATCACCTTCGGCTTAAGTCACATCATTCGTCAGATCCGCTGTCATCTCCAAGAAACGCCAGGTCAGCCTGCGCACGTCTGCGTCTAGCCGCAAATGAAGTACCCTCCTCTTCATCTTTGTCATCTGTGCTGCCATTACCGCCGGCATCTTCGGCCTCGCTACCTCCACTTTCCTCGACCTTGGTCGACTTGTTCTTACTTCGACTCGCCCGGCCGCCTGTGCCCATCCCCCACAGACGATTCATCTCCTGTGCCGCCTCTGCTTCGGCTAAGAGTTCTCTTGTTTCTCTGATTTCGCGTGCTTTTGCCTCGGAGAAGCGGCCGTCCATACCGACTTCTGTGAGCATTTTCTTGAGGTGGCGAATTTTGGCCCTCGCATCGTCTCCGTACTTCTTGAGCTCATTGTGCCACAATTTTCTGATTCCGCATTTGACTAGCTGTGATTGAAGTTTTTTGATCTCAGCTTCATCAGGATCATCAGGTGTTGACTCGGTGGTCTTCTTTACTTTGGGCTTGGCCGGTTTTGGCGATGAGTCCCTTCGCTGATTCTTCTTTCGCTTTGGCTTCGGGCCCTCGTCAATGACATCCGAGTACTCTTCCTCTTCATTCACGACAGAGTTTGAAACTTCGACCTCTATCGAGGACATTGCATCGTCTTTGGAATCATCCTCCTCGCCTATGGATGGCGATCCCTTCTGTGCTTTTCCTGATGCACCATTGCCTTTCTGTTTTCGTTTTTTGGGCAGGGGTGGCTCTAGATTGTCGCTCGAATCTTTCGCCGAGTCTACCGTCCGAGACTGGCGACGTGATGTCACGTTTTTCGATTTTGATTTCGCCTCTTTATCGCTTCCGTGGGGTTCCTCGTCTTGCGTCGTGTGCTGGCCATTCTGGGCGGCGTGTTTCTGTCGCTTTGGGGATGACGGGGATCCCTCAGAAGCGTCTCGCTTGGTTCTATTTTCTGATTGTCTCTCCGGTTTCGACTCTGGCAACCAGCCATCTAACAGCTTGTCCTGTGCCCCAAAAAGAATGAAGAAAACTAAAATTAGCAGGTTGCGCCGTGCGTAATTAAGCGGGCAGAGCGGGGAGCTGCCGCTTACAACATATTGTTTAATCAGAGCCTTGCTCTTTTGTTTCCAGTCGTCGCTTGTAAAGAAACCTTCTTCCAGACCCATTGACTCTTCAACATGCTTCCGCACTTTGTTTACCGTTGTCGCATCAGGCTCGGCGGTGAACACATGGTACGTGCCGTTGATCAGAGCTTCTTCAAGCTGGTTGGTTGACGGCGCCATGCTGCCTGCAATTGAGATCCAATTGGCCAAAATGCAAAGACGAGCGCAAGCTCAGCAATCCGAGGCTGCAATGGCGCAAGTACAATGTGTTGATGAGACCTCTGGAATAAAAGCAGCCTGGCGACTATGGGTGGTTCCGAGTTTCAACGCGTAATTGTGCGCGCCAGTGAATCTTGTCGCAAAAGTCGAAAAGACGGAAGCCGCCAGTGGTTCGCGGACGGTGGGGAGATGGAATGATCCCTGTTGACGAGCCGTTTGTTGTCTCAAGACATTTGACATTTGGGACGTCAAAAGCTAATATTTGTATTTGTGGGCCCGCATGGCGATTGAACCAAAGTGCTTTCAGGTGCACTATTTGTGCTAAGAGGTCAACTATGGAGTACTCCGTACTAACGGAGTATTTGTGGCACTTGGCACTTGACACTCGGTGACGTCTAACCCAGCATTGAAGGGCAGCCACGGTCAGCCGCAAGCACTTGAGGAAGCACCAGCTTAAGTATCCTAACTGCTGTGTAACGGAGCACTGAGCACTCGATGCTTGGCATTGATGACAGGATATATATCGATAGTATGCCGTCGACTACTTTAGGTAAGTAGGGAGGAGGGCGTAGATTAGAAGTAAAAACGCTCGTAGCGCAATTGATAGCATTATGCTTCTCAAATCCGCACCCAAGTACGTTTGGAATCTTGGAGCTTGCGCTGAATCCGCTTTTGAGAATTCGTTTTCTGCAGATGAATAATGTCGAGTGCCCAAGTACCCGGGTAACTACCTACTTGTAGGTAAGTAGTAACACAATTTCGTGCTTGGCACGTCTATTAATAACTCTATATTGTGGAAAAAGGTTTCCTAATAGAGGAGCTGCTTGCTTGTACTCGGTAGGCTTCAACCGAGCCGTGCAGGGAGTTCTGGTTCTGCTTTCACCTCTGCAACGGAAACGTGAAGTCTGGTCCAAGTTGGCCACACACCATCAAATGGAGCGGGAAACATTGGACGATGGTTGGGCGGAGCTGGACACGGGTACATAGCTCCAGAGCACCCAAGTACCGGGGTACCGGCCTGGAAATTGCGCACCTCGGCACTGGACAGGTACCAAGGTACTTGTCAGGCTGCCCCACTCGTCACCTCCAGACCCAATTGTCGTGACAGGGATGCCCATCAGGAAATCCAAGCTCGAAGGAGAGGCCAACAACGCGCAAGCAGATTTACCACCCTGTGTGACATTGAGCTCCCGACGCCTCGGCCAACAACGCCAGCCAAGTCCTCCAATTGCCCTCCCGGCGACTTGCGAAACGCACTCACGAGCGAACATTGCCGGCCCATCCCCAAGCTCCGTTGCGCCAAGCCAACATCGAAAGCTATCTCCAGCGAATCGCCGTGCCAACGTGGAACGGCCGCAGCCTCCTCCTCCCCCATCGTCCCAGTCCAAGTCTTGATTCCAAGTGTCTGGCGTGTCTTGCGACATGCGCTGCCGGAACCAATAGCGCTCTATGCACCCGTTTTCCATCCTCACCCTCGGCATCTTTGTAGCTGGCTACATCACCGCGCGTTGGGATCTCGTCACCCGTCTCTATGAGCTCGCCATTTTTGCAGCGGAATACGGAGTTGTGGTATGCTACAATTGCTCTGCTGAGGAGGAGTTGCCTACCATTGTATGTCACTGGCTAACTCGGCTTGGATTTGATTTACAGATTCGCGCTGCCAAGGGCGTCGTTGCTTTGACTGCTTTATTTCTCACCATCTTCATACCTGTTGTTTGGGTGGCCAGAAAGGAGACATTCTTGGTATGATTGGGAACTTGTGTACACGGCACATCTCGAGACTGTTTTATTAATCTGTGCCGGTTTTACAGCATCCGCGGGAGCCTGGGATTGGCGTATCTGCTCGAGAGCAACTTAGGAGGCGTGGTTCCTTTTAAGGTTCCTCCGCTCCTGTGGACGATTCGGTGGCCATGGTAGAGCATGATGGCTTAATGCGAGTGTTTTGGCCTACCGACATACGCAAATCCAATCGTCCAGGAGTGGTGGTGGGATGGCGGAATTCCACCCTCGACGTGTTTGTCATTGCCATCTTGGACGATGTAGATGTCAGTCCTTCTTCCGCGACGAGATGACTCGACTGCTTTGCTAAACGCTGACGACATTCAGGCTAGCGAAGTCGAACATCACCTGAAGGGAGGATCGTTTTTCAGAAGTGCCCCCCATTCTCCTGGTCGAATATATGAGCTATGCGGGCATTCGTCTATGCACGTCCTTGGCGTGTCGAATTCGACCGGCACGGCCACCGTCGACCCTTCTTGGGTCTGCGCAATCAACCATCCTTCTTCACGCACCCCAACTATAACTTGCGCCAAGGCATCCAGCATACAGCTTATCCTCTACGACAGGCCGCAGCCTAAACGCATGCAGTACATCTCCTTGGAGCCAATTGCCCTAGCTCTTGGAGACAAGAGTTCCATGGTGGATGACGCCAAGGTTGACGCTACTGAAGACCTCGTCGAGCAACAAGAGAGGTCAGCAAAGGAAGCTAGGCAAAGGCTCGTTGAGAAATTGAAGCAACACACTATTTCCAATCGAGTCCCTTCGGCCCGTGACAAAGCACTACGGAAAATCATCAACCAAGTAAATTGGTCGTGGGAGCTGGAACAGACATTGCAAAAGAACGCCTGGCGACTTGGGCCACGGCCGAAGCGAAGTCTGAGCGTATCTGAGCAAGTAATGGAATCTGCGTCGACTATGAGAAACTATGTTCTCAGACAGCTTTGGACCTTTTTTGCCGTCTACTTGTTCCCAACAATACGCAAAACTTTCATCCTGTTTCTTCTTGGCCATCGCATGGTGGCTGAGATGCTACTTCTCATTCTAGAGTTTCGGATCAAACCAGGATACGCCGCCTTGAAGGACATATCAGCCACCGCACAGCAGATAGAAATTCGACTCCAACAATTTTGTTATTGGCCCATGCAGTACTCGAAGCTGCGGCAGAGAAAGGCGAATTGGGCGAGTATCACTACCAGCCATCCCGATTATATCCGATTTTACAACAGCCTTTGGCTCGTTGCCAACGACGTCATCATTGGCATAGCTCTTGGCTCCTACGTGATTGAGCATGCCGACTGGGTTGCCGCGCAAATTGGAGACCTGTTGAGGACGTACACCGTGGAGGCTCTTCAAAGCAGCATCTCATGGTTGATGGACTACCCAGCGGGTTTGAAACTCAATGGCGAGCTGGCAGTGTTTTTGGGTGACTTGTTTCTGTGGGTTATTGACTACTGGTCAAGTATGTCTCCACGATACGGTATCCTTTTGGTTTAAGAAATTCCAAACTTGGAGAGAAAAAACACTACAGATGACTAACCACATGTTCAGGCTGCATAGAAACCCTAAACCCAGCACTGCCAAATATCGTATGGTTCATCGGATTTACGTCCTTTGCAGGCGCCAGCATGCCAACTGCGCTGTTTTCGGATCTGCTGTCCCTCCTGACAGTTCACATCTACTCATTCTACCTTGCATCAGCCCGCATCTACCACTGGCAGCTGACGATTCTCCAGTCACTCTTCCACCTATTTCGAGGCAAGAAGCAAAATGTGCTTCGTAACCGTATTGATTCATGCGACTATGACCTTGACCAGCTGCTTGTCGGCACGATTTTATTCACGCTTCTCTTCTTTCTTTTGCCCACCGTGGTTGTATTCTACCTAAACTTTGCTATTGCACGAATGGTCATAATATCTATGAAGGCGGGATTTGATACTCTGCTTTCGTGTCTGAACCACTTTCCGTTATTCGCTTTGATGCTGCGTATAAAGGACGTAAAAAGGCTACCCGGTGTGTATTCTGCTGTAGACTCTGCACCTCCTATAGTTCGGCGGCTGACATTCGCAGGCGGCATTCGTTTCGAGCTTCGAGATACCCAAGATTATAGAGTCACAGACACTAATACTATTAATGAAACCCCCACGTCGATCATTTACCTCAAGGTGAGCCGGCGCCAGATGGCCAACTATCAACCCGCGCGTATATCTTGCTAACAATTGAAATCACAGTCAATACCTCTGAGTTTCAGTGCCATGTTCCACCAATACGCCCAGATGGCCCATCGCATTCGAAAACACTATCTCTCGCCGCGCGTCCTACTGTGCCTCCTCACAGGGCAGTTTGTCCCACCTATCAATCGCAAAAATCTGTATAGTTTGCAGTACAGCATGCTACCAGCAAGACGAGCAACGATTTGGGACATGTGGCGTGCTGTGAACACCGAAATTCCTCAGAAAAAAACCTTCCAACTACCTATAATACCGCCACTGCCGAATGGTGCCAAAAGGATGGCGGGGAACGGGCGTGCCAGGGCGCACTACTAGGAAGTAGCTATGTTGAAGTAATAGGATTTTAACTCGAAAGTTTCACCGGCGAGCTCAAGTGCTATTTATTGAGTCACTACGGTCTAGTAGCCCAGTGTTTAAAGTATGCAGGTGCGAAGCCATTCGAGCGTAACTTTCGAGTAGCTCACTTTCAGTTCACATCCACCCAGCCTCTTAATAGTATATAACCATTGGCAGTGCCAATGTTCTAATCAACATCTCCTTCATATACTTTCTTCCTTGTATACTTTCTTGCTTTATTGAAATCCTGACACCAGTATTTTCTACTTTCTTCACCATTTTCACCCACAGCCCTGGCTCACAGCTCACAGCTCACAACTTCTCTCCCTCTCAGCTGTCCAACATGGTTAGAACAAAACTCAGCAAAGAAAAACTGGCCAAAGGGCATAATACTGGGCACTGCAATCCTCCCATGTCACTTGATCAAAAGTTACGAGCCAACCAAGAGTCCACACCAAGCCTAGTCTCCCGGATGTGGAAATCGTCGACCTGGGTGAGCTGCAGTATGGCTCTGAAACGACACCCGCTCCCCCTATCAAGAGCCCAAGGCAAGATAGGACCTTCAAGGCCAAAAGAAGATGAGAATGTTGGAAACACCCCTGTTCAAATACCTCAGATAATTGTCACCACACCAGACGGCAAGCAGTGCGGGCTTGGTGACATGCCCGAGTGGCAGAAACCTCGTGCTCCAGAAGAGGTTTTGGTTATGTATGCCAAGTGGAGATCTCAAGATTTTCTGAGCCCTCGTTTCTATGCGAGGAACCCGACTCCAAAGAGGATTGTAAAGAGAAAGAGGGTGGTGAGACCTGTTGGAGATTCTGCGCCATCTTCTGAACGATCTTCTGAGCGACCTTCTGGGCGATCTTCTGGGCGATCTTCTGGGCGACCTTCTGCGCGATCTTCTGAACGATCTTCTGAACGATCTTCTGAGCGATCTTCTGAGCGGTCTTCTGAGCGGTCTTCTGAGCGGTATTCTAAGCGGTCTTCTAAGCGGTCTTCTGCGCGATCTTCAGAGCGATCTTCTGAGCAACCTTCTGAGCGACCTTCTCAGCCACCGCGTGGGCGTAAACTGTGGGCATGAGCTTCCCACTGGCATTTCCCATGCTACTCTTTAAACATTTGGAAGAATAGAAGGCGCTTTCCGTACCAACTACTACATTTTTTGGAGACGGCGGCATGAAGCAGACGGAATACTGCACGACATCACAACGCAGAGGATATACAGGATATATATACCCTCACTCCCGGGGAAAAGAGCGACATGAAAGGTTTGAAGGCACCGGCCAGGCAATTTGGACAATAATTCTCAGCATCATTACAACATTATTGCTTGACATTAATAATTGGCGTTTTGGTAATATGAGGGATGGGCAGTGTTTGGATAGAAGGACTTGGGACTTACACCGCTGCACACGGGGGAATTTAGACATGGGGCACCAGAGTCCGAACGGATTGTGACATTGGTGGTGCATATCGCTGTTGCTATACGGAGTACTCACACCATGTACCCGAGAATCTCGTTAGGTTGATAAATTGACCAAAAATGTGCAGCGATTGCCTCGTTGAAGTCCCTTGCATCTAAGATCATGCGTGTATCGAATAGCACGGCCATAGGCCAAGCCCCAACCAATTTGGAAGTAGGTCCTTCCTAGCCCACATGCACCTGCCCGCCACGCCAAAACCTGGTATTTGGGACCCCCTCTTTTTATTCAAGATGGGGGCACGTCGGTGCCGCGCGCCGATTGTGGAGTTCTTTAATTGAACATCGAACGAGCAAACACAACCAGGCTGGCTGAAAGACTGCATCGGAGGCCTTCTTTCCATCTCGCTGATGCTGTCCGGCCACACGGAGGAAGGCTGGGCTTTCTATCTTGCATCGGCATAAGGAGCCCGTCGTTACCGCCTTGTGATGGTGTTCTAGGCAAATACACTTAAAAGCGACTGGGACACATTTAAAGCCCCGTCTGATCGCGTATTCCGAGACAGCTTTGATTTTTATTTTGGCGTGGTCCGGCAGTCTTCGTATTCGATCATGGACCCAAAACAGAAGTTCTATCGTCATTTCCAGGACAGCGTAGCAGGTAAGCCCCAGCCCGTCGCAAAGCAGCTTCACATGCTACCGTACGCCGTGCGAAGCTGATGACTTGTATTGCAGAGCTTCAGGAGCAAATAGATGAGTTGGAGGCCGTGTCCGCCGTCGCAGGCGAACGGCAGGAAGCCATCGACCATGTTCTTGCTGGCATAAGCAAGCTCCAGCACGAGGTTTCTGACGCGGCAGAGTTCACGCCCTCGTATGATCGGAAGCAATACTCAGATGTGAGCGACTATATATATTCATTCCCTTGTTTGCTCATTCGGTAATCCAGCTGATACTTGGAACAGAACATCAAGAACCTCTCTGATAAGCTCAATGAAACCGTGGCCAGGGTCACACCAAGGTCTCGTTTCCAGTTTAAACGCTCCAGCATTGGCGCGCATGTCGATATGGGCGCGCCGGAAAATGACCCCCGCTTGCACCCAGGCAGTCTATCTCGAAACACGCAAAGTTCCTCTGGCGAAAGGCACCAGGAGGCCAGGGAGAGCGACGACACAGTTGGTGATCTCCCTTCTGTTGCCGCGATACGTGACTACAACGCCGAGCTCTCTCAGCCTAGTACGCAGTTTGTTAGGAAGCCAAGCTTCTCTATGGCAAGGAACATTGGCATTGCTAATCAGTCCCATCTGCACATCATTCTCCCATCTTCCGCGGCAAGGGCTACTGCGTCAGGGAGTTTGACGGATTTGAAGTGGTGCATTGTGGACATGTCCGTTCCTACAGCGCAGGGGAAGCCGTTTCCAGGATTGGCTTTGAGGAACATCTCAAACAGCCTGATTGTTGCCGGCCACGTCAACGGGCCAGTGCACATTACGGGTGTAGCGGACAGCATCATTGTGGTTACAGCACGGCAGGTTCGTATTCATGAGTGCAAGAATGTAGACATCTACCTGCACTGTACTAGTCATCCTATAATTGAAGACTGCACGGGTATGCGGTTTGCGCAACTACCCAAGTGTTATGTGAGTGTGTTGTACAGAAACCTCCCTTCTACACCTCAGATGCTGACCTGTTTCAAGTCAATCGAGGGCGAGTCGTCAAAGGAGAACCAGTGGGACCAAGTTGATGACTTCAAATGGCTCAAGGCTGGCCAGAGTCCGAACTGGACTACTCTTTCAGACGCCGAAGCTTTGGATGAGGCATTATGGACCAATGTCGTGCCTGGGCAGCCAGGTGTAAGTGTTGAAGAAACGCTGAAAAAGGTTGGTATACCTCGCCAGTAAACGCTGAAAGCGAGTTGTTTTCGACAGACAGAATAGTTGTGAACCCAATCAATCCAAATTATATACCCATGACCGTAAACGCCATTCGCTTTGCCATAAGACACATTCGTCTCATCCCGTTACCAATGCTGCCCCGTCCTGAGCAGAGTTGGTAGCCAGTTCCCAAGAATCAAATCTCCATTTTATCATCGCTAGCGGCACGATCCCTCTTGCCGAACGTGACGCCTCCCTCACGCAGAGTTTCCAGTAGTGCGCGCTGCTTCTCAATCCGAGCTTGTAAATCCTTTATCTCGCGGTTTTGTTCCTCGACGGAGCGGTCCATGTCCGGCAAGGCACGAACTTGAGCTCGCGCATGTTGGACTTTGTGCTTCAAGCCATCAGTGGCGCCGGGAACATCTTTGAATGACAATTGCTGCCCGTGGGTATGGACACCGCCGGGCGTCACACCGGTGGCAGTTGTCAGCCCATTCGAGGACTGGATGCCGGCCCGGACCTTGGCTAGGACTATGGAGAGCTCCGAGAGCGCATCGAGGTCGTCCGGGGACAGGTTGGGTGGCAGAGCGAGCGGGTGTCGTTCTGCTGCCATTGTCGGTGAAGGCCTACTCTGCGGTGGAAAGATGAATTGATGCGAAAAGCAAAGTCGCAAGTGGTCGAGTAGCGAATCAAGACCGCAGCTTGGGCATGCAAGTTGTGAACGATGGCTTGGCTGTGGCACTCAGTCATGGCTTGTTGTACCTGGTCAGCGGAGCTTATCGGACAAATCGGCTCATCAAATGTCAGGAGCGAAGCCAGTGCCGTGCAAATATACACACTGTATAGTTGCGTGCAGTTCACATGCACGTCTACAGTGCACTCGAGCCCTGAAACTTTCGATAGCCCGCTAGACAACCGTCGACCTATGACATAGATGTTGCATGTAAAACAACAACACCCCACCATTTTGCTGAGACAGATACAAGGCAAGCCTCTTTCTTCAAATTCACTCATCCTCCTCCTGCATCTCCGAACCAATTGAGCCTTTTGTTCCCCCCCTGCAAAATTCCACCCTTTCTTTTTCTCGATCTTGCCATAGAAGAACTGCATTCACCATGTCCAAGACCGAGCAGAAGGCTTGCCTCAGTACGTCGTCCCGTCCCGACCTCTTCAAACCACTGCCCCGCCGTGAAGCTTCTTCCCCAAGCGCTCCTCCTCTCCCGGCACCTGGCCGCGAGCCATCGAGCCTGCCCGAGTCTCGCAATGGCAAGGCTTCGAAAAGTCTTGACTATATACTTTTCATTTGCTATATGCTCGTGTATCTGGAGCTTGGGTGGCTAATTCTCTTGCTCGTGCGCTCCTTTGTTAGTCGTCATTGATGGATGGGGTATTCCCTCCGAAGAATCTCCCAAGGATGGCGACGCCATTGCGGCGGCCAAGACCCCCGTGATGGACGAGCTTTCGAACAATGCCGAGGGTTTCACCGAGCTGGACGCCTCTTCCCTGGCAGTTGGTCTGCCTGATGGTCTTATGGGCAACTCCGAAGTCGGTCACTTGAATATTGGAGCCGGTCGTGTCGTTTGGCAGGACGTCGTTCGTATTGATCAGACCATCAAGAAGGGCGAATTGGACGACAATCAAGCCATCAAGAAGACATTCCAGGGCGCCGCTGCCGGTAATGGTCGTCTTCATCTGTGCGGTCTCGTATCTCATGGCGGTGTGGTAAGTCAGGGTGCCGCGTCGTTCTGCCGTTACAGGGCTAACAGAGGCCGGTTCAGCACTCCAAGCAGGAACACTTGTATGCCCTCCTGAGGGCCGCCAAGAAGTACCAGGTTCCCAAAGTCTTTATTCACTTCTTTGGTGACGGCCGTGATACCGACCCCAAGTCCGGCGCTGGCTACATGCAGGAGCTCGTTGATTACCTCAAGGAGGTCGGCATAGGCCAGATTGCTACCGTAGTCGGTCGATACTTCGCCATGGATCGGGATAAGAGATGGGAGCGTGTTGAGATTGCCTTGAAGGGTATGTGCCACGGCGAGGGCGAGGCCAGCGAGGACCCTGTTGCCACCGTCAAGGCCCGATACGAGCGCGGCGGAAACAAGGACAAGGACGAATTCCTGACTCCCATCATTGTTGGGGGCGATGAGGCCAGAATCAAGGGTAAGAGAAAATGCTTATGTCTAAGCGATTGATTGCCAGATATTAGAGTGCTGACCTTGACGCCTTAGATGATGACACTGTCTTCTTCTTCAACTACCGCTCTGACCGTGTTCGACAAATCACCCAGCTACTCGGTGATGTCGATCGATCTGTTCTTGAGGATTTCAAGTACCCCAAGATCAACAAGCTCGTCACCATGACTACCTACAAGACCGATTACCCCTTCAAAGTTGCATTTGAACCCCAGCGCATGGGCAATGTCCTTGCTGAGTGGTTGGGCAAGCAAAATGTGGAGCAGGTTCACGTTGCTGAAACCGAGAAGTATGCCCACGTTACATTCTTCTTCAACGGTGGTGTTGAGAAGGTGTTCCCTCTGGAAACCCGAGACCAGGACCAGGACCTTGTGCCTTCCAACAAGTCGGTAGCTACCTACGATCTGGCCCCGGAAATGTCTGCAGATGGCGTTGCCGATCAGGTTGTCAAACGCTTGGGCGAACAGAAGTTCCCCTTCGTCATGAACAACTTTGCTCCCCCGGACATGGTTGGCCACACTGGTGTCTACGAAGCCGCCATTATTGGCTGCGAGGCCACTGACAAGGCTATCGGCAAGATTCTTGAGGGCTGCAAGAAGGAGGGCTACATCCTCTTTATTACTGCTGATCACGGCAATGCTGAGGAGATGAAGTTTGCTGATGGCAAGCCCAAGACCAGCCACACCACCAACAAGGTGCCATTCATCATGGCCAATGCTCCTGAGGGCTGGAGCTTGAAGAAGCAGGGCGGCGTCCTGGGAGACGTTGCCCCGACAATTCTTGCAGCCATGGGTCTTCCTCAGCCTGACGAGATGACTGGCGAGTCGCTGCTTGACAAGAACCTTAAGAGGGGTACCCAGTAAGCAGGGCCAGCTGGTGCAAAAGTTGTTGTTTGGGTAACGGAGTTGTGAGGGTCGTGACTTGGGGGTTAGCATGAGAAATGAAGCGTGTAGACTAGATGATGGGCATGGGAGCCGGATCGGGTATGAATGAGCAACGAACGATAGATATGGCGAAGTGAATGAGCGTAGCAGGGACTATGCCAGAGTAGATATAGAATCACACAAATGGCGTAACATGGTGACATTTGGGCGGTTCCTTTTATCATCAGTTGAGTGATGGCCTTGCTATGGTGACGCGCTTTGCGCTTGGAACACCAACTTGAACAGCATGGGTAGATGAGTTTAATCCAACGGACTATAAGCAATCGTCAGTGATGGTGTACATCTTCGATGCTACCAGATCTGGCCTACGGATGCAGTACTCGATACAAAGTACAGGGTGTGCGTGGGTAATTTTGACGCAGGGCAACAGGTGTGTGCTTTTCCTGTGGCAAGCATAGGGGACTGTCAAGTTAGAAAATGTCGACTATTTGGACGATTTCTCCCAACCCATATACTCTCCTGTGGTTTGCTTCCCGGGGGGCTGTTTCGAGGTTTTTAATTGCCAGCGTTGAGTACGGAGTAGCCAATTACCTCGCGGCGAGTTTAGGGGATCCGGGCTGTCATTACGGAAAGTTTGACAGCCCGGCCAGTGGGTCGAAAAGTTTAACAAGACCTCATCCCACGCCGTTGGTCTTTTCGCAGGGCAAGTCAGATGCTATCCGGCGCATGTATGCATATAAACGAGCTGACGAGAGCAGGGGCTCGTGGTCTCACGGTGGAAGCCCGTCGAAGGGACAAAGACACCCACCCTGCGCGGGCAAGTTTACGTCACTGGTTGTGGGGGCCGGTCCAATCAGGACCCCCGATATGAGGCAATCGGGGCTCTCTGCACGCGCAAAAATGAAGTGTCGTCGGGACGAGACTGGCGATCATTGCGGACCTGGCTCCGGCGTGCGACGAAGGGTTCTAACCGAGTAGCATGCTGAAGAGCCTGCTCGTGGTGACGGGGACGCGCTGCTGCCAGTCGATGGAGAGGATCAAATACGACGGTGTTTTATTTCACGATGAGACCGGCCTGGGCTGTGAGCAGCAATGGCTGGGTGTGACTGGTCCAAGTGCCCCGGATAGCCGAGTTGCCGTGGCGTAGCGGCGCGGTCGAGAACATTTATTTACCAGACCGTCTGCAGGCTGCGTGGTTTGTGTTGAGGAGGGCGTCGGGTGTCTGGTGCGTTGCACACCTGACGTTTGGAGTCATATGCCAGCAGGCTGCGACCGCAGCCAACTAAAGTACTTAAGTATAGAGTAACTTGCTCCTCGGGGGATTTTGGAAAGGTTTTCCGCTTGTCACAGCGCCATGGGCCGACGACGGAGCACATGCAGTCAACTGGTCGACAACAGAACATTGAGCCCGGACTGGAGGCATTGGCTTGACTGGTGGATTGGACTGCAACGGCTTCAACATTCAATGGGCCTGTGCCTGTGGGCGCGTCATGGCAGTGGGGAGGGTCCAGATGTCGACTCCAGATGTCAGGTCAGGTCAGTCGGCGCGGGCCATCGACGTTAACGCTGATGAGTGAGACCGGTGGCGGCGATGGCGGCGTAAAAGTGAGATGACGGCGCCCCGGCGGGCGGTTTCGCAGTGGGCTGTTGGTTGTTTGAGCACCCAGGCATCTACTTAAGTAAGCAACCAGGATTGCAATTAACCTGGCCTGTGGCTGTGGCCTGTATGTACATACATGACCCGGCATATTGTCCACTGTGGAATATCACGCCGGTACTTGACATCGAGTATCATCGAGGTGCTGGCTGGAATACGCTAAGTACTTAAGTACTTAGCTGAAGTAGCTGAGAAGACACGCTAGTGTCAAGTGCATGAACCAAGTATGGGTGCTAAAAGTTGACGACTGCCGGCGGGCAAAAGACGCCAGGCCCTCAACTGGTGCCTGTACTGACTAAAACATGGCCTGATGTGACGAGTAGCTTACAATTGCGGTCCTGTCGAATGGTCTGGTACCATATTATTACGACGAGATTGAGCAGGCATGCCGGCGAGTTACATCAAACGGAGCTGCAAAATACGCAATTCTTTTTGACCATTTTTAGTACTAGTTGATTTACATCTCTTCCCGTCATCAGCGTACCAACCTCGAAGCTGTACCAGCTCCTTCCGCCAGCGAGGCCCGAGAAGCGCAATTATAAGCAGCAGTTTCTATAGCGCCACACCACCGGGTCCATCCATCCAACCAGGAAAAAAAGGCTGGACCCTGAAATTCACTCCATGCTGTGGGTCTCGATCTCTTTTGATCCCGCAAACACCCCGTAGGTCGTGGAAATCGGTGCAATGAGCGTCGAATCTAAGCTTCGCGGCCCGCCGAGTTTCCTTGCACCCCATTGCACACATCGCCGCACTCATCGCACCCTTTCCCGGCGGGCTTTGTTTGGTGGCAGTGACTCGGCCTTGCTTCTTCGCCCGTCCTGGCAATGGCAATGGCCTCTCTTCTCTCTTCCTGTTCCTTGCTGATCTGCCGTCGCCACCT